TCTCGCGGTCATGCTAGCCCCAGCCTGAGTATTACGGTCGATATGACAGATACCACCTGCTGCAGAACCGTAGCGATTACAAAGAACAGGAACCCTTTTTTCGATGCTGCTTGGAGGTACCGCGAGGACACTTCCATCTTGACGCGGCCCTGTTCACTGTGCTCTTTAGCGATGCCATCGGAAGGCGCGTAGCGAGGACGGCTTTTTTGAAACTTTCTCTACGCGATACCTTCTCTGATACAGATTCGAGTTCTCCAACAAGGGTGGCTTGCATGTGGCCCTCGCTTGTAGTGGGAGTAGTCATGCCGCTGGACCGTCCGGGTGTGGTGGTTCCAGAATTGGAACCGCTCGTGGCATGGCCGTGACTGTCATAACTCAATTAGACCGCGTCGAACATCGTGAATGGAAATAGACGCACACAAGCTTGCGCACTTCACTATCCGGATTCGACATCAACTCACTGTACGAGCCACTCTCCAAGATCATACCGCGGCGCAGGTAAACAAGTTGATCGAAATACTTGAGATACGAGATGCTGTTAGTGACAAGAACGCGCGCTTTGGTTGCGAGTAAGCCTTGAGGACCCATGATCTGTTACATAGTATCATTAAAAAGAAAGAAGTCTGAGACCGGATGCTCTTACTCACCAAAGACGTGTCGGGCAACGTGGGAATAGATGGCAGCTAAAACATCACCAAGGAGAACCCTGCAGGATGCACCGCTGAGCTGAGAGATCAATTACCTTTGGCTGATACGTTACTATCCCGAAGTACTTACAGTAATGGCTATAGAACGGACGCCATAAGCATTATTGGGTCGCCAAAAGGATAATCAGAAACACACCCTTTTCACCGACCTCCGTCAGATCACCCTGTAGGAGAAAATCTAAGTTGGGCTTCAAAGCACAAGCTGCAGAGAAGGGTCAGTCCAAACCTAACACAGTTAATCGTGTACACACCTTCGATAACAAGGTTATAAAGCGCCTCATCGTACTCATGTGAAAAAAGTATATCACCTTGAACCAACGCAGAAAGAATCCTATTCGCTTGTGAGTGAACGTGCTAGAAAATCCTGCATATGCGACGCACCAAGGAGTCTGAGCAGCGTAAGCTACATTGCCGAACAAAGCCACCTCACCCTCTGTCTTTCGCACGTCCCCGATAATCGCTGACAACAAGCTACTCTTCCCGCTGCCCACACTACCAAGTACACCCACGAGTTCCCCCTTGTGTACCGTCAAGTTTATATCTTCCAGAGCAGCTGATGTATCTTGTCTGTTCCACTAAAATTCGCCATTTTTGATTGAAAGCACCTGTCACAAATGTGAAAACAATCATAAGTAGTTAGAGAATTGCCAACCTCGTCACCGACGTCCAGACTGCTTTTCTGCACCTTCACGAGGGCATTCTGCTGCAGCTCCTCAGCGTGCAGGAAGCCTTATAGACGTTTGACGGAAACGAGGGCCTCGACGACGTTCGACGTGACTTGACTAAACTGTGACGCAGTCAACGATTGTTGAACGATTATTACTCACCATAGCATAGATGCCACAAATATGATGATGGCAACAACGTATCCCTCGAGCGTGCTCGGACCAACGAGGAGGTTGGCTGCACCGTTGGAGAAGTTGATGTTGCAGTAATGCAAGAATATCCTGTAAGATTTTCAAGAATGCAGCACCTGCGTACGGGCCGCCATAAGTAGGAACAATGCGAGCCATAAGGACGAACTGCAACTCGGTCGGACAAAGAAAACCATTTTTATCAAAATTACACTCACTGCTCCTCTAGAGCGCTCTCTAGATCGTTTCCAATATTCTGACTCGCCATGGGGAAGCAAAGCAGGCAAGTCGTGATGAACTCTTTCGAACCTTTCTGCATCAACGGTGTCAACCAAGCAAATCACCAGATGCTGTATACATTTGCCGTGACCATTGGGCTCTCCGTATTATCCTTGACCGAATCATCAGGGGAGACGCACTCCAGCGCGTGTGCCGGGAGAGAGAAAAGTTCGACAGCCCATTTGAGAGAACTACGAAAAGTCCCTTCGAGACTTCGCCCTACACGAACGATTTGGTCCATATCGCGAGGTCGACGGTGTAACAAGGCCAAAACAGTAGGAGGATGGTTGATGATGATCGCGTCCGACGATGGTTCAGTCGGGTGAGTATCCAAGACACAAGCAGCGCGAGTGGTTCAAGGATGTAAGGCCGCACGACCGATGCTGCTCTCTTGAGTGACAAGACGATGAAGAAGTTGAAGCAGGACGCAACAATGGCCGGTCTCAACAAAACCTGCCCGCCAAGTTGGTTCGAGGTAGACACATAAAGCTATCGCAACGCACCAGTTTCGCCCATCGACTTTTCCGCGAAATATCGCGAGGGGGAGGATATCTCAAGGCCCAAATTCTGCATGTTGCCGACAGTAGCATTAAAGCCAGAAGAGATGTTAAAATGACGCCTTTCTCAAATCAAAGAGTGAAATCAAGTTCACAAAGCTTTGATACGACGATGCACCACCCTTCAACGTCCTGACAACTTGACAAGGCGCCACAAGGTGCGACGATGACCATCGATGGCAGTATTGACTGATATGAATAAAGTCGGGCTGGGGTCGGTCCGTGCTCAAGTCTTGGAGCGGTCAAACTACGTCCATTGTAAGTACACAACCGCTTGTGACAAGCTGTGACACTATATTGTATTGTGCAATGGCACGTAAGGAGCGACCGGTGCTTTGAAATACTAGCAACCTGTCGAAAATCATTAAGTATTCACCCTTTCCAAACAACGCGGAGCACTAACAACATACGCATATCATGAGGAACAAGTTCGGGAGGACAGGTATGCTCGGCAAGCACTCGGGGAGCGCAGCACGGGAGTTTCACCAATAAAGACGAGCCATACTGCAACAGGCGAGATCAAAGTTTAATGAATCTAACATACGTTTAAAGAACACCGATTATAATGCGAGGACAAGCTTGCAATTAATTGGAGAGAACTCAGAGTCAGGAATATGAACGACGAGAAATAACCGGTGAGGCTTGAGCGAGTTCTAGCGGCTGAGATAATCAAATCGATTAATTAGGAAACAAGTTCGTACGCATGCGTTTGCAGGCACCTGATTTTACTTTGATAAGCGTGACAATAATGCTTCCCATACTTCTGACACAGCGCTCATAACCCTGCCTAAAGTCCCTCCTTGCTACTGGTTGTGAGGGTTCGTTAAACGCAGGCTATCGTCTGCTGAACGTCCCTCCTTCGCTACTGGTTGTGCGGGTTCGTTAAACGCAGACCATCGTCTGCTGAACGTCCCTCCTTCGCTACTGGTTATGCGGGTTCGTTAAACGCAGACCATCGTCTGCTGAACGTCCCTCCTTCGCTACTGGTTGTGCGGGTCCGTTAAACGCAGGCTATCGTCTGCTGAACGTCCCTCCTCAGTGAACGCAACCGCATCTACCACCGCCTCATACTACACCCTTCAGCACCTCACTATCTTTCTATAACCTCGCCAACGCAGTACAGATTTCTGAACTTGTTCGTCCTTCTGACTGGCACCTCATGGCACCGTCATATCTGTATAGCGATTTTTTGCAATACATATGTATTCATAGCTAAATTTTATATCTACTGTAGTTACACTTTCCCGATACTGAAGCGATGAAGAAAAGGAAATGTGATTACCTGAGATGGAGGGGTTGTACCTTAGATCTAGCGGTAGTTATATGACGGGGTGGGTGGGCAGGTTGCTTTACTACGGGTGTTCGCTGGGCACAGCCTCCTATGGGTAATGGTACACCGGATATATCTGCTATACATGGATGATACACTGGATGATATATCAAGATTTTTGGCTAACCAGCCACTTAGACATCTCTCCCCAGGTGTCTTGGGAGACAGGCACGTCGAAGTGACAAACACGTCATCACGTGAGTGCCTTCGCGCAGGTGTTAAAACAAATGGCATGGGGCTACGGATGAGTCAAAGGAATTAAAACCAACCAGCAGGAAAAATGGCGCTTGCAGTGGTTTTCCACGGATTGGGAAAAGCTCTGAGGATTCCAAAATTGGTCCTTGCAAAGCCCCCTGCGAATAGGGCTCATATGTCCAACATAGGTTCTTCTACCCCAGCGGACGATAAAATTGATGTAAAAATAAAATATATCTTGAGGCCAAGAGCAGGTTCAACGGTTGTACTTCGCATGAAGGTTGTGACGAAAAAGGCGGGGAGACAACTGCGGCTCGACTCGGACTTGGTGACCTCGAAATATCTCTCACATTTCCTTGGCCTACTACTGTCCCTCTGATAAGCTTGCTTCCCGCCCTCCGACGAACTTTGCAGCGAAGCCGATATAATTATGTCCATATATATATCGCTCAAGAACTGCCTCGCAGGTTGCAACAACGTTCAACAGAAGTCAAGACTTGACATTAAAGAAAGTAGTGCTCGACTTACGCACGGATTCAGGACAGCTGTACGCTGCGCCGTCAAGAGTATGAGGTTGTAGAGACATTTAAGCGCTTTTTCGAGAAGGAAATGAAGTGACGACGGCTAGCGTACTAGTGTACAGACGATGTCAGACATCTGTTGTCAGAATTTCATAAATCAATGGACAACCGTCCAAAGGTGGACAGAGCGCGTGTAAAGCAATGTAATGTAGAGCATTGCAACAATATTTGCAAGTCTGCTGACTGCTTTCACATGTCCATTACCTGATAACATATGCAGAGCATGTCCTTTATTTTCGTCGCTAAAAGCAACATTACAACGTAAAGGCCCCGCAATCAACGTAACGCACCCTAAAGGACTTATCGAAGTCGGTTTTCTGATGGACATTTTCAAGTTGGATGCTATAATATCAGTGCGCATACTTGACTAATAGATTAATTCATCGAACCTTGACCCTGCCGAAACTTTCAAAATTTGCTGTCTTACAGTATCAAATAGTAAGTCGTCGCACATTTTTCAACTTTTTACAGGTGAATTTATTTAGGAATCCACTAGTATGACGCGCAAACGGCGGCAAGATACCTACCGTCGTGATACTAGGGCCTCTAAGCGGGCTCATCTGGAGGCACACACCAATTCTAGCTCTGACTCAGACTCGGAGGACTTCGATGGTCCACTTGAAATCTGGTTGTCCAGTGGGCAGTCCGCTGTGTGCTGCGAACGATTGCATACTCCGGTGCACTCTGAGTCAAGTACATTCTTCTCACTCCCTACCACCACCTGTCCCTTATTAGCTGCAGTGGGAATGTCGTTTGGGCAGTATGGTTTTGTCTGTGACATTACATCTAGTCTTGTGCCTACTGCTCACCTGTCAGTTCACATGGAGCACCTCCACCACAGACAGAAGTTAAGAAATCGGACACCTTCAACAATTAAATCGGTTCTAGTTACCCACCTACTCAACAGCCACTATCTCACGGCAACGACACCCTGTCCCAGCCCCCCGAGTGATTTGTCCGAGTCCATCCAGGGTCTTCAACCGGAGTGGTCATCTCATTGTCCACACCTAGGCTGTCGTCATTGGTATGCTGTACCTGCAGGGAAATCTTCTATCAAGGGTCAGCAGGCAGGCACTAGAAAACACATCGCTGAAGCCCATCCCGAAAATGCCAAGATTTATCTGGCTAAGGTCCCTGAAATGAGATGGATCTACCGCCCCTTTCGCAAAACTGTTCATAGTGAAGACCGGCTGTTCTCAGTAGTCTGGCCTTTTATCAAAGACTACATTCCTGCATCCTTGGCACAAGATGTTATTTCAGTGAGGTCCTCTCGCATCCAATATACGGTTTCTGTCCACAGTCAATACTTGACAGACCTTGGGTGGCAGAAATTTATTGCTAGCCTGGGCCTGCAACCAGGCGTTCTTCGTGGGCTGGTTAGGCTTAAAACAAAGAAAGAGGCACTATCCTTGGAGGGAATAGAAAAGCAGCTTGAGCTCGGTCTTATTATCATTCGGAAGCTCTACAGGTCATATATTGTGGACGTCCAAACCTATATATCTTCCAAAAATGACCCGCAGTTTCGTCAAGCAGTAACAATGAAGTGAGTACTCTCCATCTTTGTCTGTGCATAGCTCATAGTCTATTACTCAGCACCAAGGCGCACTTCAGATCATTGAGCCGAGTTTCTTACTACACCTACTCCAGACCTCTGTCTCGCTGCGTCTGCATGCTCATCAGATGGATCCATGCTGAGCGCACCGGTGCTTTGGCGCCATTCGGCGCTTTTTACATCAGACGGAGTCTGGCCCAGGAGTACGCCACCAACATGCTTTACCATTACCTCATTCAAACCAAGGTTCTCCGTCCTGCTGCGCTTCTCCAACTTCTGCACCAACTGCTTGTGACCCTCGTCAAGCAGAAATTTACGAACCTAGAAACGATGGCATGTCCAACAGACTACACCCTATGTATCGGCTCACTGGCTGACAATGGCGGGTTTCTACTTGCTACCACCACCGCCAGGACGTGTGCTGTGCTGCAGCATAACTTCTATACCACCATCATCCATTCTGCTCGGCTTGAGGACCATGGTTACCAAAGTTTTATTCCATTTCGTTTAGATAATTTCACCCTGGATCCTGTACCAGATGCAGGTGAGGCGCCTCAACCTATGGAGGAGCCAGCCGCTGCCCCAGATGAAGGAGAAGGTGCTGATGATAGTATGGTGGCACAATTCCGAGAAGTAGAGGAAGAGTTCTTAGATGGTCATGACGACGGTATAGATGCAGAGGAGGGAGAGCATAAGCTACAGCATGAAGCTGAAGCAGGATGGGACTTTGAAAAAAAGGAAACTTTTCATTCTTACTATCTGAACGGCGACACTGCAGAGAACCTAGGTGAGGCATGGATGAAGGATGACATACGGTGCACTAATACGAGTGACATATTCAGACAAATATTATAACCCGCAGTCTTCTCTGGCAGCTCAGCGACGTCCACCAAACTTTGTAGCTCAGGTAGATCGCAATCCTGGGTCCTTGTCGGTCTTAAGGTAAGCTGTTGTATACTGCTTTCACAACTAGGATTACACTTAGCTTCATAACCTATAGTATTTTGGCAGAGAATTCGCACTACGTTCAACCCTTGCTTGCCAGCCATCCCTCGTTTGCCACACCTTACAACCAAATCAAGACTGCCTGGTTCCATTCGAGGCCAACGTCATTCAAAGAGAGACGAAACTACGGTTTTTTCTTCACTGAAGACGGGACTACCATTACCATGCGAGACGGCGACGACATCTCCCGGAGTATCCTGTTTTCAGACGTTGGGTCATTGGCCAAGACCACGATAGCAAATATATCGGATCAGATAGTCCAGTGCTTGCCACATGGTTGCAAAGATCTTCTTCAACAGTTTCGTGGCATCTCCAGTCAGTTAGTCGATGACCTTACTAGTCCCGATGCCATTTTCCTTCAGCCTTCCAACCGCATTCTTATACAACCATTGTTGGATGCCATGTTAAAACATCTGTCAGACCCAAAAGAACTCAACCATCACATCATGATTTCTCCCTCTGTGATTACTGAGGAGGCTGCCAGAAAGTGGCTGGCCTTTGACGAGCGAATTCTTGGTCGAATCCTGGTCGCCTTTCTCCTAACGTGTGGGATACCTCCCCTACACTGGCAACTTCGGACCTTTCAATTCCAGTCAGATAGCAAGACTGACATCCCTCGTAATCTCTATCTTCTAGGCTCCGAGCTTGTTATAGGTCACCCGGCGGCTAGACAAACCAACCAGGTTTTGCAAGAGTGGCTGTGGGCCTTTCCTCCCAGTCTCGCCCCACTTATTCTTTTCTACCTTGCAATCGTACGGCCTAGCGTCGTTCACATCACAGGCCTTCTTCATTATGTCAACAACGATCACAAGACTCATATCTTTGCTCATACCTTTCCTACTACTCGCCTTGAATTTCCCCGAGTTTGGAATGGAAGCGACGTTAATAAGTTGCTGCAGATTCATACATCCTCTCTCCCAGTTCTATTATCATGCGGACTTCTGCGAAGCGTGATATCCGCCATGTACAATCAACTCTTCCCAGCTCTTTCCCATGTCGGACCCTCAGATGACTCCATGGTGGATCGCCAAGCCCAACACACAAGGACGACGGGCAACATTCATTATGGGCGGTCTGATCATGTTCCCTTCGCTTTTGGAATGACACTTGAACAGGCTCGCAAATGCATGGCCTCCAGCCAGGCATTGCATGCCTTCTATGGGTTAGGCAGTCTGGATCATCAATGGGCTGAGCGCTTACAAAACTCAGCGTTTCTGACTGACTTGAGGAACGAGAATCTGGGTCTCAAAGAAGCAAGGATTCTTGTCAGAGAGACGTACAACTTACACCACTGTCGCTTGCCACACCAGATAGCTGGCCTTCTGGAGACTGCACCTTACTTAACTCTCAAAGACGTAAGCGAATTATGGGTTTGAAGTTCATCCTCCTTAATGTGTTCACTAGGGGGTTATCGGAGATGAGGTGCTTCGACGGGTGATGCATGCAGTGTTGTTTGGTAGTTCCAGACCCAATATTCTTGATCGTCCTTCTGGAGGAGGATACTTGATTGCCGATGTATCAACCGCTGTGGTACAGGTGAGCAGCTTTATCGTTACTATTGTTTAAGAATGCTCCTAAATAACTTAAGATTGTCAAAGCTGTGGAAGAAGTAGAATGCGGAGCCCAGTTTCATTCCCCAAGACAGATGGACATCAGCACCATCATTCACTTCGACGAAGTAGCAACACAAGCCCAAAGACACCTTGCTGCACTAAAAGACGACTTTCCTACTTCGTGGATGAAACTATGCACTGACGTCCATAGGCTCTATCAGAAACCAGAGTTGTCGAGAGAGATGTCCTGGGTTGTAAGAGGAGTTCCTGGATAAAGACGTTCACATACTATACATGTGTGGTGATGATTATTTAGTCTCACTCAGCCTGAGGCTCGTGCCATTCTGGTATTAAACAAAAGATGTTGGCATCCACACAAGGACAACTTGAACGTCCATTCAGCGAATGAGCCAAATATTGATGTTCAAAGCCACCAATGTTCTCTGCCACACATGATGCCGATTTAGCCGCTGACCATCATGATCATGCTGAACTTAACATCGTTGAGGACGACATACGTGAATAAATTGAAAATGCGCACATTTTTGAAATGTTTGCGCTATCTGGATTCTATTTAATTAGGAGAATGAACAAAGAAAGAAGCTGTAGAAGCGGCACTACGTGCTTGTATAAGAGATCCAATACACACACTGGCTTCAATGCCAAGGGAAGTACTCAATGCTCAGCCCAATCATTTAAATCGCGCATAGCTCATGGAGAGTATTGGTCGAAATGCCAAGGTGCGTGAGTTCTTGGCCCTCCCTTGAATGTCCCTTTTCAAATCAATACTTCTAGCCGTACTTGCCGGTGTTCAGATTGTAGCAATACTGAATGTACAGTTTTGTTCTATATCAATTCGACACTTGGCATAAGCCCGAATCTGAAGTTGTTCAATTGAAATGGCCGGCTGAAAAACGTCAAGAGCATGGCACAACCAGGTTCCAAAAATCTAGTGCGCGCCACAACTGAGCTTACTAGCTTAGAGCAATGACGGCGCAACGAGGCAAGATGTTTGCTGCTCTGGTGTTCTTGTTCCTCAGGATGCTTTAGAATTCGTCCTGCAACAACACGATTCTTTAATGGATACAACGTCGATTCCTAGCATTGTTATCATAATGCCAATTATCAAGTTCGACGGGTATTGGAAGTCCTCCAGCTCCAGCCCCATAAAATCCTTTATGCTTCTCGCCGGAACAAACCGGTAGAAGATGCTGATATTCCCAGCTTTGTCGTTGATCCCACTTGCTCGTACTCCTCCGAAAGATTGTTGATCCACCACCGCACCAGTGCATTTCTCGCTGTGATAGACATTGTCAACAGCATTAGCTAGTTTGTGGCAGTCGGAAGAGCTTTGCGGTCTGCGGTAAAGCTGGAAAGGAAGCCATCAGTCAATGCATGTCGCAGAGACCTTGCAACTTACATGAACCCAGTGATGACCGGATCTAATATTCTTTCATCGTACTCGAGTCAGGATCTTTTATTAGCATATGGCAGGCTGTATGGAGACTCCTTCGAGTCATCGCCTATTGGATCATGAGAAAAGTCGCAGGTGGTTATGCTATTCGCCTTACTGGTGTCTCCAATAAGAACCTCCCCTCCCGCATCCTTGGCTTTCTGGAGGAGGTCCATTATTGTGTCATAGGCTGGACGACCTCTGCAACATTAGTCAGTAACCAGTATGCAGCCCGAAGCATAAAAACGAAACGCACGTTATGGGTTGCTGAAGTCAGATGATGGCCCGACTTCGATCTTCGCAACCTCAGACAGGAGCGGGTCTTTGAATCCAAATGACCAGATCGAAGAGGAAACGTATAGCTGCGACAACGCGGAACACTGTTGTCCTGCACATGTCCATCAATCTTGCGTATCACTCATAATATGCGAACCTTGATACTCAAAGCCTCGAATGCCCGCAAAACTGCATTTCGGATATCTGCGAGTTTGTGGACGACGTGGAAGTTCCTCCCTCCTGTATCGCCGATGATTCTCGGATAGCTTTGTACTTGTCTAGGTTTGCGGCAATGTCTTTCCATAGCTTTTGGAATATGAAGCTGCTGCCTGTGAAGTGGGATGCTGCAAAGCTGGGGTGCGATATCGCCTATGTGACAAATTCTGAAGGTGACCCAGAGATCAACTGGAAGAAGTCGAAGAGCTACGAAAGTTTCATTAATCAACTGTCACCAAGATGATCCCACATTACACACCTCAGCGACAGCATCAATCTCAGCCTGCCAAGCACTTCCCTTGACCAAGCGTAGTAACTGCCACCAATTTGTGACAGTACTTGCCGCTAACGAGCTCTGCACTGGCACGCAGGAAGATGGCGATGCGATCGTCCGAGGCATGGCCTCCCATTGTGCCTTGGCAAAAGTGCACATCAGTCGCGCTAGCTACGGTCGAGCCATCTGCCTCATTGTATGTGCAGAGATGGTAACTTGCGGCTTCAGGGTGATATCTACGGTGGGTTAGCTGGTGCCATTGTAGGTATTGGTGTAGAGGAAGGTAGCACACTGTATTTTGCGAAAGAGAATGGTGCCAGCTTGCTGGTTTCCGTGCTTGATACCGGCAGAGGGTATTAGTCGGTGTGGAAGCAGGTGCGGTGAACAGAAGCTATGCGTGGCATGATACTAAACAAGAATGAAGGAGCTGCGGTAACTGCACGCGCATGCGTCGATGGTGCAGTTGGCTTGGTGAAAAAGTGGGAACCGACAGACCTATTGTCCAAAAATAACTTTGGCATGACCATCGAGGATGATGGAATGATCGTCAGCAACATCGGCTGACTGATGAAGCTCAGCGCCAGTGACACTATGAGAGGCGTTAATTCAAATGCAGCAAGACACAGAACCGAACGTACGGGAACCAGATGTTAGTACCAAGCCTTTGGCCCGCGTCGTCCGTCAACTTCCAGTTACTAACATATCTACCACGTCGGGAACATCGGGTACCTGGTAGGAAACGTGCTGTAGCGATTGCAAACTGTGGTAGACTCAACGAATGAACCTTTAGGTCACCGGTCCATACATCAAGAGCTTGATTAATAAGTTTTTAACTGGACAACTGACAGATTGCTCTCGGCTATCAGTCCTCACAGAACAAGTTACAAGGAGTCAACGACGAGAAATAACCGGGTGAGCGACAGTTCTACATAGCTGAGATAATCAAATAGATTAATTAGGAAAATGCACTAAAAAACGACTTTCCTACTTCGTGGATAAAACTTATATGCACGTGCTGACGTCCATAGGCTCTATCAGAAACCAGGGTTGGCGAGAGAGACGTCCTGGGTTGTAAGAGGAGTTCCTGGATAAAGACGTTCACACATGTATGTGTGGTAGTAATAAATATTTAATCTCACTCAGCCTGAGGCTCTTGCCATCATGATGTTAAACGAAAGATGTTGGCATCCGCACAAGGACAATTGACCAGGTTCCAAAAATCTAGTGCGCGCCACAACTGAGCTTACAAGCTTAGAGCAAGGACGGCGCCATGAGGCAAGATGTTTGCTGCCCTGGTGTTCTTCCTTATTCCTCAGGATGCTTAAAAATTCGTCCTGCAACGACGCGATTCTTTAATTGATATGGCGTCAATTCCTAGCACTATTATTCTCAGGCCAATTATCTCAAATCAAATTCGGCGGGCATTGGAAGTCCTCCAACCCCATCAAGTTTCTCCTTTATACTTCTCGCCGAAACCAACCGGTTGAAGGCGCTGATCCTCCCAGCTTTGTCGTTGATCTCACTTGCTCGTACTCCTCCGAAGGGCTGTTGATCCACCACCGTACCAGTGTATTTCTCGTGGCAACAGACGTTGCCAGCAGCATCAGCTTGTTCGTGGCAGTCAGAAGAGCTTTGCGGTCTGTGACAAAGCTGGAAAGCAAGCTATCAGCCAATGCATGTCGCAGAGTTATGTGAACCTCATGCCGTATTCAACCTCGGAAAGACGCTCCGTGGCACCTTGGAGAGAACTACAGGCGCAGTAGGCCGTGGGCAGGCACCACTTTGGCCCGTGAAGCTCCACGGTGTCGTTCTTCCATACCAACGGACTCTGCCCACAAAATCTCATTCGCCAGACAGACGAGCCGCGCCCTCTCTAGCAATGCGCAGCCGCCTCTTTCAGCCACTGCTCGCGTGTAAGCAGCACCCGGCACTGCCGGAGCGCCCGGACACTAAATTTTATGGTCCCGTCCACCAGCTCGAGGTCTTCGTTTCTAGTTTCTGAAGCCCTGCTGGGGTCACTCATCGCCTCCGATTGCTCGAGCAGGCGTGCGCTGGTAATTTAGATCTCGTGCGACTTAGGAACGGCCTCGTGCGCCTTGTTGAGGACGACTTTGGCGCGCTCAGGGGTTTCTGGATGGGTAAGGGCGGGCCAGAGCTCGACGGAAAGTGGGACCACCTCCACGGGGGAGTATGCAGGTATCCGCAGCTGATTCTTCAAGGTTGACAGCTTCCCGAACGGAGTTAGAAAAATCCTCTAGTGCTGCGTGATGTGAATGGATTGCGGTAAATTCAACGAAAAAAGTATATACCTTTACGCAGGGCGGGTTTCTTCAATAAACGTCACGCCCAAGGTCGGCTGCTGTAGGCCGGGTCTTGACGCTCTGGCCGACGTGCTGATCAGCATTGGCAAGAATGACTTTGCATCCATCCTATAGGGGATACCGGAGACAGCGCAGGAGGTACCGCGGCTCACGTACGTGTAACCGTCCTGCCTCGAGCCGTACATCATCGCTCTTGGAACGCCTTTCGCAACCTGCTTTATGAGTTCCCTTGCAGCAACCGTAAGGCCAGCGCCTTCTCCCAAACGTGCAGCTGCAGTGCAGTGTTTAGGATTTGACTTGATGAGCGAGCCAAACGACATACAGGCAAGCTTTACGTCGCCTACTTCAGCCCCAACCTTGAGAACGACTAAGTGGTGCGAGGTAGCCCTTTAGATCGACAGAGGTAGCAGGGCCGGAGGCAGCGACTGTCCCAGAAATCCACGACGCAATGAGTGAGGTACGATGAGAACTACGAAAAGCAAACTTACTTGGTCGAGCTTTGAGGTCGTAGTGCCGTGGTCAGCAGGAGTCCCGATGACCCCCTCACCTTAGCCTGGGACTTGGTAAGCTCACGCGGAGGGTCCGCAACCTTGGACCCCGAGGGCAGGGCCTTACTTGAGGGGTCAGCAGCGCCTTCGAGATTTACCTTCTTTGCAGGGGCAGCACCTCGCAGGAATCGGCTGACGCGTGGCCTCTAAACCGCATTCAGCAGTCGAGCTTGGGACCGTCTCAATTCACTGCACTTAAGTTAGTCAGAGGCTTCGAAGTGAGGGCAGGCTTCAAAGATGGCAAGTAAAGTTCGACAGCAAGGGGCAAGCGCAAAAGGCCGCGTAGGCAGCTTCGGGGCGAACGGTCGTACCGAGCTTCACAACGTCGCCACGGCGTGAGGCTCACAACCAGCGCCTGACGAGTGCCAAGGAAACAGCCCCAAGAAAGTGGAGAAAGGGGCGCGACTCGAATCAAAGCTAAGCACTCACCCGTCTGCTTTATGCCCGTGGCCAGTGTTAAATTAGGTTGTACTTGAAGCAAAGTAGGTTTTTCCTTCACGCGGAGTTTAAATTGGTAAGCGTCTGGTTTGCAATAGATGATCGCCGTACTGATCGCCGGTCCAAACCCCGTCCTCAAACGCCGGTAATCCGATAAACGAGACATCCTCGAGGACGTTTATAGGGTGTCGTACGATGTCTATGGCCTGGCTTCAAGATCACCACTTTGTCAACATCAGCCTGGAATGTGCCGAAGTCGTGGATTCGCCGATGGAGAACACCAAAATGAACCTCGACGATAGCAACATTGATAATTTCGTTCGCATGCAGTGCAGGTTTTTCATATTTTACAGTGCTCTGTACTATCCACAATATATGCGACTGCCAAAATTTTTTGCTGTTGGTTACGGCCATCTCTCGCCTCCCATAGAAGCAGCCTACATCTAAAAGAGTCGAGTTACCGACAACGAGTTCGAAAGTTGTTCTGAACAACTCGGATTGGGTATAGCTCAGGGCATGCGTTCGTAAATGTCGTTTTGGCTCAACCGAGAGAAAAGTACCGCTCTGGGACTGCCGTTGTAGTAAAATGTTAGTTTTTTGAATCGGACACGATACAAATATGTAAAATAGCATCGAAATTTTCACAAGTGAGATACAACTATTAGCTAATGTGAATATATTATCGGTATACATGATGTATCTATTCAAAATCAAAATCAGATAGTTCGTCGTTGGCTTGCTGTTGCGAGCGCCCGCAAACGACGATGCTGTCTGTGAAGTCGTCTAAAATAACCTTTTCAGCGTCACTTAGCTGATCCAGGCCCAGAACAATCTTTGTGAATGTCGAATGCGTCATCTGGGGGGTAATCCTACCCTTTGTAAGTTGTATCAAGCCCTGCTCCATCAATGCAGACTCTGTAATGGCGCCGGCTGCGCCAATAGCATAACGTATTTGACGGCGTGGGCATTCGTCGAGAAAAGTGTGGAGCCGGAAGGGCGAACACCAGATGAGTTTCGTTAGGACATGAAGGATGAATGGGTTGGTGAATTTCGAGTGAATGACAAGCGCACCGTCCTGTCGAAATAGATTAAAAAAATGTTCTCGAAAATGAATAAAGACTTACTGCAAAAGTGTATTGATGCATGAACGCTAAGTTGTTATCTACGACGAGGCAGCGTATCCGATCGACACGAAAAGTATCTGGGGGGATAGTACAGCCCTGTGGTGGGAAGAGGGAATATCCCATCACGACAGCTTGTCGGATGATCGTTGCGAATGCAGTGCGAAATTTCGTCACTGCGCACCAAACGTTCGCGACGTCCTTTTCGTTAGCTGTCCATTGTGTTGCAACTAGTAGGATCAAATAGTTAGTATAAGTCAGTGTTCGCGTGTTAATTCATACCGAGAAGGGCTGGTATTCTAGATCTTACTTCGGAAATGACCTTTTTGACGATGCGCTTTTTGTCAGCCGCGAGAGATACCAGTGCGTCGTCGGAAAAGACGATGGATAATACGCGTTCCTTTGAGGCCGAGATCGCTTGTTTGCGCGTCTCGGGACTAATGTCAACGGCGGAACCTTCGATGGATTCCGGAGGTGCGACAGTCCCCGTCATCGTTGTGGGCGTCACAACAGGAATGACAAGGCGTGGTGTGGGGGGCAGACGTCGAGTTGCACGACGACGTGCTTTCGATGTCCTTGCAGGCCCTGTAGTCTAGTAATGTCAGGTCAATTTTCGATGATGCAGATACTAACATTGACTTACATGTATCACATGGGAGTTGGGGATCTCTCCCGTCGACATTGGCCGTAAGTGGTGGAGATCCGGTGGCAGGACTGAATGAGTCTGAAATTCCTCATCATCGCCGACCCAACTGGGCGCTATGGTGGAAGGGTAAGTGCTAGACATATGTTATGAGCGCAGGCAGACTTACCTAATGACGGAGCAACATATCCGGTCGAGGATCCAGCGCCAGACGCGAAGTCCTGCTGAGGATACGCGAAGTCCTGCTGAGGAGGCGCAAAGTCCTGCTGAGGAGGCGCAAAGTCCTGCTGAGGAGGCGCAAAGTCCTGCTGAGGAGGCGCAAAGTCCTGCTGAGGAGGCGCGAAGTCCTGCTGAGGAGGCGCGAAGTCCTGATGCTGATAGTGCGCGAGATCTTCATGCTGGTAAGCTGGCTCGCGCTGGTAGGGAGCGGACTGATGCTGATGCTGGGCGAAATCCTGATGATGATGTGCGAGATCTTCTTGCTGATGCTGGGCGAAGTCTTCATGCTGATCGTAAGTAGACTCACGCTGGTGGGGAGCGGACGTGTGCTGATGGTGCGCGGAGTCCTGTGGATGGTGCGGATGGTGGGTAGTGTGAGGATTGAATGGCAGCGGCTGATTTGAGGCGTGAGGGTTAAAAAAAGACATCGGTTCGCGCGGTTGCTCATCGACGAGATTCAATTGACTGTCCACGGGAGCATGAGATGGGTTGAGGCCCGAACCACGAGCAGGTTTCGCAAAGTTAGTCTTACCTTTGCGGGGCGGTGCATGTTTGCTGGCCATAAAGTAGAGGGAGTTGAGGATGCATGGGCGCAGAGAGCAGTCCAATTTGAATTCTACGAGAAGCGACTGTACACAAACAACACCCAAATAAACTACACGTCTTGTGACATGGGGCTGCGAACAGGATAAGGGTTAAAATGAAGGGGCACGATGTAAAAAGAACAGCTGCAGATGTGAAAAATGAATACAAATGAGAAAGGGGCCATGATGGATTTGCTAAACTGTAGCATGCATGTTACAATGCGTTCTTATCGATTGATCAGTCGAGCGCATAATGACCGGACACGTGTATACATACCTCAATTGGAAGTGCAGGGCTCATACAAATAACGGCGTACGGGAAGGGTGTGCGGACTGTGCTGCCGAATTGACCGAAACCTGTGAGTTATCTTCCTGATCTGCGGATACCAGATTATCTCTAATCGAAACCCCAGGCTCAGGCGATGGTGATCCCGATCCTTTGGCTCCAGGTTGCAAGAAATCCTTCTTGACACGTGCACCTAAGATCTTTGAGAACTGCTCAGCTTGTAGCGAGACAACGCGAAGAATCTCCATTTCATCCTCGTAGACAGCTTGAAGGTAATCTCTGTCGTCATTGACATCAGAACGGTCACGCTCAGAAAATAGCTTCCTAAAGATGTTTAAGTCTTCTTGAGCGAATCCGAGCCGTTCTTCGTTGTCGACATGCAGAGCATCCAGGAACTCAAGGAAGCGCTCGGTTTCCTCGATTTCCCATGCGGTCACCAACATGCGCTGGCGTGCAGTCTCACGAGCAGCAAGCTTTGCTTGATACCCTTTGTACAAGGTTGCAGGACGCATTTGCGTGAGGCCATTTTCCAATGTTCCGGCATGCTTTCAATAATTTAGTCTCTACAATTAAATAAAAGAAATACACGATACCTCGAGAAGTGAGTCAGAGGATACGTATGGTTTGCATTCTCGCCCGGTGACACGAGCTGCATAACGGACCTCAATTGGAGCCGGAGAGGGGGGGTACGGAATGAACTTGTTGCTCATTCTCTCGCGGATAAAGCCACGTCGAGAAGCGCGTGCAGGATTTGGAGGTGTAGACGGATTATAGAATAGGCTGTCCGTCTCCGATTTGGCAGCTGCAATCTGAGGTGTCTTTGACAGTGAGGATATGCTTCTTAGTGAAGCACATATGTCAGAATGCCTCGTATTGGGAGAGCTTTCTGACTTGAGACTGGAATCAAAAAGAGATGATCCAGGAGTGGTAGCACGTCCGCCTGACAGAGGTGAAGATGGAGGACTGCTTGATGGAGGAGGGCAACTACCGCCTCGAGAAACGGGGGAGGAACTGACTTGTGGAGAAGAGACTGTATGAATCATCATGTACAAAGGGTGGACTTGGGAGAACCTGCGGAAGGCTAACTGGGAAATCTGCAATTATATGAAGCGACCTGTTGGATTATCACAAGGTTGACATCAGCCGGCGGAGTCTAAAAGACTGAATCGATTTGCGCACTGCGTAACGCCTAGCACTCAGCAAAGGGCAGCAAATGTGCGTATACTTATCATTGTCACTCAATAGTGCTGATGATCAATGGACATACCTGTACCAGGTTTTGTCCCAACTGCAGTAAAGAGTTTCCTACAATCGAGGCCATTACCCTGCACTTGAATTCTCAGTCTACCTGTTGGCCGCACGAGGAACGTCCGCATCAATTCCCTGTTCCCCCTGGGTTGCGAGGTTCCCAATCGTCAAAACCTTCTACCACTACTGGTTATTGTCATCCGCACTCGGGATATGTCTTTGGTGTTGGCAAGAACCTGTTTGACAGGCTGCAAGACGATCAGTATAATTATCGGCGAGAAATAAATACGTATTACCCTTTCCATGATGAAGGAGAATGGGAGTTGGCAAAGTTCTTGGTTGAAAACTTAACTCAAGCTCAGATTGACAAGTTTTTAAAGTTAAAATGGGTAGGAGAGACTTTGAGTGCTGCTCGACAGGCCTGACTCCGTTGTTTCCAGTTTCACACTCGCCCAAAACCATCCTTCACCTCCAAGGAGCAACTTCTAGATTGGACCGATGCACTACCCTCCTTTGTGCCATGGAAAGTTTCGAACCTAGAGTTTACGGGCTACAAGACGACTTATCCCGTGCAACTTATTTGGCGCGATGCTCTAGAGGTTGTCAAACAACTTTTCAGCGATCCGGTTTTCGCCAATCACATTACCTTCCAGCCACACGTAGTCAATACAGGAAGTCAACGCGAGTATGGAGATTATATGAGTGCCAATATGGCATGGAAAATCCAGGTTAGTTTGGCCCTTTAAGTCTACTACTTGAAGTTAATTCTATATACCTAGGACTATCTGCCAGTAGGTGCTACGCAAGTACCTATCATCCTGGGATCCGATAAGACTCCTGTCACGCGGATTACTGGAGGGCTCGAGATGCACCCACTTTTCATCACCATCGGTAACATCGATTCGGAGGTTCGCTCCAAGGCCACCCTGCGAGCTTGGCGCTGTATCGCCTACATGCCTGTTAGCAAGTTTCGCGTGCATTCCGACTATCAGACCATTCTTCAGGCGCGGCTATGGCATAAGTGTGTTGATCTCGTCTGCGCCAACCTGAAGGTTGCAGCGAGTGATGGCTGTTTTATGCCTGATCCTTCCCGACATATTCGATACGTCTTTACACCACTCATCGCCCATGTATGTGACCTTCCTGAGGCCTCCATGATTGCTGCAGTCAGCAAGAATGTCTCTCCAATCACTATGGCGACACAAGACAAATTCGGTGACGGAATTCTCTATCCTCCTCGCACTGGGAAGCACACACTACAACTTATACACGAGATCGCCAAAGAGATTGATCCTTGGGATCTCGACAAATTTCAGAAGGCAGCAAAAGCTGCCCATCTGTCTGGGGTCCACATGCCATATTGGCTTGATTGGTCGTTTTCGTGTCCATCCGTCTTTCTCCCTGGCGAAGTTTTACATACCCTTCATAAGTTTTTTGCAGATCATCCACTCAAATGGATCAAGGAGATAGTAGGAAAAACCGAGCTCGACACCCGCTTCATCACTCAGCACAAACGGGTAGGGACGCACCACTTTACTAAAGGCATCACGCACGTCAACCAAATGACTGGGCGTGAGCATCGTGATATTCAACGCACCATTGTTGCTTCAATCTCAGGCGCTGCTCCACCTAGATTCGTTCGCGCAATCCGCGCTCTCATAGATTTTTTCTATTATGCTCAAAATCCAGTCCATTCTCCCGAATCCTTACAGTCGATGGTGCAGGCACTCTCCGATTTTCATGCATTCAAGGATGCTATCGTCGAGGCCGAGGCGAGGAGGGGGAAGAAGGGCGCCAAAGAAGACTTTTTCATCCCCAAGCTCGAGTTACTCCAAAGCTTCAGAGGCACGATTGAGAGACTGGGTACTTTGATGCAGTTTTCAGCCGACATGACGGAGCGCTTGCTCATCACTCACTGCAAGGATCTCTTTGCCCGAACAAGTCGACGAGTGAATGATTTCACGGAGCAGTGTGTACGGATTCTCAATCGCCAGGAGTCAATGGAATTGTTCAACCTGTACGCGCTAATCACTTCCCATGGCGCATCGCTCGTCAACGCCATAAACCTTGAAGATGAGGAAGTGACGACCGTCAACCCAGCACTCTCCTGGATTTCTCGTATACTCCCCGATGAAGCATATTCTGTCCATGGACCTCGACGAGTCCGTAATCATTTTCACAAGGGCATTCTTTCTGGAGATGCTCTCACTGCCTTCCATTTAACTTCAACACCAGATCTCAAGTCCCTGTCGCCCGTCGATATTCTCACCAAATACGCACTCGTTGATTTTGATCACGCAGTCTCCCAGTTCATCCAGCGTTCTTCCCTCTCCAGTGGCGAGAATACTCGCTGGGACCACAGACATGGACGCTTTTACGCGTGGAACAAATTTCGATTGCAACTTCACTCTGCCTTCCAACCTCGAGTGATCATGCCAAGCAGGGTGATCCAATCATACCCTCCCAGCGACCTATTTCCCCTCGGGAACTGTGATACCGTCCTTGTCGATGTTACGAGTGATGATGGCCAAATTAGTACGTATATTTTCTGCTGTCATATTCTAACACTAATGAGGTGATATTCAGCAAGTCGCGTCGCCCAAGTTCGACTTATTTTTCAGCCCAAGGTTCCACGTGCTTCCAACCTGGTTCTTCCAACATATCTTTCCAGTCCGCTCCTCTACATACAATATTTTGACTTCGTCGCCAATCCCAATGACCGTCCCGAACTCGCGATGTGGACAGTAGAGCGGTCATATGTGGTGGACCAACATGGCAAACGCTATAGGCGTGGTGGTGTGGTGTTGTTGATGGATGTTACACATGCTGTCAAACTGATACCAGAATACGGTGAGAAGGTCAACAAGGACATTTCTGCGACGACGTGTTTGGAGTCCTATGACCGGTTTTTTTTGAATAACTTTGCAGATAAAGAAAGTTATCATACGTTTAGTACGGAGTTCGCGTAGTATTGATCGTTAATAGTATTAGTAGCGCAGATTTGAATGCATGTCAATCGATTGCTGTGATTCTGAACTTTCTGAATGGCCCAATGATCAATACAAATGACCCTACTCGGTGTTTGGAAATGCAATTCCGAACCCTAGACTAGTATTTCAACTCAATCTCAATATAATAACATATAATGCAATACATACACCCGTTTAAAAATTATAACACTATCGATATCGAGTATTTACAGTGTACAACGGAAAAGTTTGTTCCACCAATCGAGTTGCTCCGATCACCAGGCCGTAAGCTCACCGTAAGCATCAAACTTCTTTCTGACAAGCGAAATTTCAAGGTCTTTTGCTGATGTAGTGCCAATCAGTAAACTGGTGAGACTCAGATATTCCTAGCCGAAATGCTCTTTCCTAGACATGACGTTATAAAACAATATAAAGCAATATAAAGTGATGTAAAGTAATATATACCTCTGGGCCTGGCCTGATTACATTGCTTTATATTGCTATATATTACTTTATATCGTAATATACAGGAAAGAAGCATTGCCCTTGGAAAAAAATGCAATATATAGTCATATCTTAGTTTCACCGGTTTACTGATGGCCCGCCCGCCCGCCCGCCCGCCGGCCGCCCCGCCGCCGCCCACCCGCCCCCCGCCTACGTTTCAAACGCGGTCCCCGTTATCAATCCGTCACGGTGGCTGTATTTTTCGACGGGGTGGGTCCGTTCGTCTGGATGACGTTTCAGTGACTCTCACTCGGGCGCATTTTGAGTCTGCTGCATACGTGCAGTGTAGCGCATTCAGACGTCTCCAACGTCATCGAGAGGCTGCTCAACAAGGCTCTCCCCTCCCAACTGCTGCCTCGTGGGTCATGTCCAGACTAAATGATGATCCTCGATGATTTTCTTACACTGATGCTTCTTACACAGAAAATTTGTCTGCTTTGTCTGCGCCCTTTCTCCGCGGCGTCGCACTGTGTATTGGTACTAAAAGACCAGGTGCGCGAAATAAAGGACGTAGTATCGATGCGATTCTTTCTCATTTTGCTTCTCGACGCACACAGCTCGCAAGCACGTCAAATGATACGCACATCACGTTTGACATCATTATCGTTCGGACGGCAGGCCAAGTACTGTCTCAATATCTCAGATCGCTGTCTTCGGTATCATGAATCCTTCATTTTTGTAGCATTGAATATGCTGCAGAGGCGACAAGCTCATCTGCAAACCCACTTTGCTGTGAGGAAATCAAACTTTGACTCTGATGATCGTAAGTTGACCAATGTCTCTCCTGATGTGCTCCGACGACTTGCCAGTCGACTCGAACAAGGGTGTAAGCTGTCAAATCTTGACATGGATGAATGGAATGCGCTGAAACTCCTGCATCAAGTCAATACCATGTCTACTCGTAGCTAGTCCTGGATCACAGGCTTCGAAAATGTTTGTGAGGAACGAGATACGCAACTACTATGGTTATTTTGGTCTGCCACACATTCACGTTCAATCCAAACCCAGCGTATAGTCCTATCTTTCAGATTATGTATGGGGGCTATTTCATTGATCTTTCAGAGCGCTTACCTCGCACACCGATCCATCGTCATTTCTTGAACTCTGAAGTTGAAGTCGGGGACTGGCGCTTCCCAGCACCGCTACCTTCGATTAATGATATTCGTGCAAGGCGCTCCGGGGAATTTTCGTTCAATAGCTGTCCAAAAGATCAGTCGGACGCTCGATATGTAATTAAGTTTGTCTTTCTGGGCCATACCGCTAAGCTGGGTTTGAATCTCCGTCAGGACCTAACGGCCGTACATGCACAGGCGGACCGCAGCCGGAAAAGAAAATCGACGCCGTAGCTTCAAGCTTCGGCTGCCAGACCGCGGCAGTACTTGCGACATCTAGCTGGAGCCTGGGAAAATATTTGTGAAAACGTGTGGTCTCGACCATCGTGCGATGATATACATACATGATTCCGACGAAAATGAACGTATAACATATTTACCATACAAAGTCCTTCGGACCGCACTTAAACCCTCCATTTTCACCTCGTACCAGCGGAGCAATCAGTAGTCCCAGGGAAATTTCTCATGAATGTTTATTCAAAAAGAAAGTTTCGCCACTAACCTCCGATTCCCACCACTTACCTCCTTATACTCGGCACTGGAGCAGTTGCAGATGCACTGGCCACGGGCATCAAGCAGACGGGTGAGTCCCTGGCTTTGATTCGAGGCGCGCCCCTTCCTCCACTTTCTTAAGGATGTTTCTTTGGCACTTGTCAGAGGCTGGTTGTGAGCTATGCGCGTCCGCGCTGGCTTGGTGACTGCCGTCTACAAAAAGTTTCGTGCTTTCTAGCGATGAGCAAGGGAGTCGGGCATCTGGAGATGTTGTCAACTTGATGCGAGTAGACTACAGGACCTACGCACCTATGGTTTGATTGCGGTCTCTGGACCACTCCAGGAAGGCAGATTGCACTGGCTTTTGTCGGAGTTGCGATCATGATCATCTCTATTCCGCTAAATACGGCAATTGCACGGATGCTAAAGATGCAGGAGCAACAGATGAAGAACCGCGATCTTTTGGCCAATATCAAAAGGTACGTCAGCCTCGTGTACGCAGAGAATTTCATCAAGGATCGTCATTCATGCAGCATCGAGCGTTATGAATATGTATTCATCCGCCACGTTCTGCACGTGCGCAATGATCTAGAGCTGAAGATGTTGAAGAAAATTGGTATCGTAACGGCACGCATTGATTTCAAGGCAAAGTAGCCCATATTCATCCTTGCGCATCCATCAGGCCCTCAATACGACGCTTTGGGGCAGCATTCCTCGTGCGTCCCTTACCTTTGACTCGTTACTCACAACTAACAGACAGATCTCTCAGTAATCGTGACGTTTAGTTCTTTTGCTACCGCATCTGTGTTCTCGTCACGACCACTCACAGCCGGCGTCATCTTCCCTGCGATCTCACTGTTTATGCTTCTCCAATTTCCACTTGCTATGGTGAATCATAATCGTTCAACAATCGTTGACTGCGTCACAGTTTAGTCAAGTCACGTCGAACGTCGTCGAAGCCCTCGTTTCCGTCAAACATCTGTAAGGTTTCCTGCACGCTGAGGAGCTGCAGCAGAATGCCCTCGTGAAGGTGCAGAAAAGCAGTCTGGACGTCGGTGACGAGGTTGGCAATTCTCTAACTACTTATGATTGTTTTCACATTTGTGACAGGTGCTTTCAATCAAAAATGGCGAATTTTAGTGGAACAGACAAGATACATCAGCTGCTCTGGAAGATATAAACTTGACGGTACACAAGGGGGAACTCGTGGGTGTACTTGGTAGTGTGGGCAGCGGGAAGAGTAGCTTGTTGTCAGCGATTATCGGGGACGTGCGAAAGACAGAGGATGAGGTGGCTTTGTTCGGCAATGTAGCTTACGCTGCTCAGACTCCTTGGTGCGTCGCATATGCAGGATTTTCTAGCACGTTCACTCACAAGCGAATAGGATTCTTTCTGCGTTGGTTCAAGGTGATATACTTTTTTCACATGAGTACGATGAGGCGCTTTATAACCTTGTTATCGAAGGTGTGTACACGATTAACTGTGTTAGGTTTGGACTGACCCTTCTCTGCAGCTTGTGCTTTGAAGCCCAACTTAGATTTTCTCCTACAGGGTGATCTGACGGAGGTCGGTGAAAAGGGTGTGTTTCTGATTATCCTTTTGGCGACCCAATAATGCTTATGGCGTCCGTTCTATAGCCATTACTGTAAGTACTTCGGGATAGTAACGTATCAGCCAAAGGTAATTGATCTCTCAGCTCAGCGGTGCATCCTGCAGGGTTCTCCTTGGTGATGTTTTAGCTGCCATCTATTCCCACGTTGCCCGACACGTCTTTGGTGAGTAAGAGCATCCGGTCTCAGACTTCTTTCTTTTTAATGATACTATGTAACAGATCATGGGTCCTCAAGGCTTACTCGCAACCAAAGCGCGCGTTCTTGTCACTAACAGCATCTCGTATCTCAAGTATTTCGATCAATTTGTTTACCTGCGCCGCGGTATGATCTTGGAGAGTGGAAAATAACAAATAACTAATCAATACTTCAAGATCAAATTTTATTAAAGTAATTTATATTAGGATTAAGGGGAAGGTCACGGCAACGTTATTGCGATTATGGCCCACATCACAGACATGTCCGGAATATGGTGGGTACACATAGAGTTGAAACTGAGCGTTTCAAAGTTTCGATTTAGACAACGCATTAAACGTGACGTAACACGTCCGTGTCAGTTATTCTCACGACTGATTCTAAGTTGCTAACATCCACGAGAGCCAAGGAATTCCTCACTAAAGAGCTGTTTATTAAGAAAAATGTGGTACGAGGGACATGCACCCTCAACGTCTAACGTTGACGGGGTCGCCGCGCACCGACGATTCGGACGAACGCCTTGCATGAAGCTGCAAAGCATAATTGTTGCCACGCGACACAGCTACCTCCTATACAGGTCAAAATGACCCTTTCCTTACCTGTTGCACATGACGCGTAGTAGTACCTGGCGATTTTTAATTAGTGCTTCGGAAAAGAAAAAGAAAGTCGTTACTAGCAAGGGTCGGTGATACATGAGCTTGTCAAGATGACAGAAGAAAGTGGTAACCTACTCGTTAATCACGCCCACAAAGTGATCGAACAGGAAGTTTCCAATGCGAGTCTCGTGGCGGACGAGGAGCTCAGACGCGGTCCGTCCTATGATAAGTTAAGTTAGAAGAGACACAATTATACGTGCGACATAAGTTCACACTTTGGTCCCAGTAGATTTAAGGATCTTAACACAACTTTGGCTCACGTAAATAGGGAACGTCGCGTCAATGAATGTGATATCCTTCCATGTTACACTCGTACTATCAGTACACGATCTGTCGAAAATTTTAAAAATACAAACTTGATGACAGCACCGTTTCTTTAGCTCTTGAAACAAGCTGCACAAAGAATGCAGTTTCAGATGGTTACATAGAATGTCAGGTAGGGAGCTTCATCGCCGAGAAAACTCGACATAATTGTGTTCTCAAATAAGCGTTCGCTACAGACGCCGCTCGACCGCCTGCGCCGAGTGAACCAACTGACAAACCGTGCAATCCTTCGCAGTGATCATCTCTACAGCCAGACGTAAGCTCACTCTTTGCGTTGGCGAAAGTCGACGAACCTCCAGGCGATGTTCTTGGCGCCGCTGACGATAGCCAAACAGTCATCTCCGTTAACGACATAGCTGTTTTTGAAAAGCAACTCGGTGTCTGCAGCCGAAAATCCCTCCCTGCATACGTTCAGCTAAATAAAAACCAAATCAAGAGCTCAGTAACGCGCGTATGAATGGACACGACTATTCAAGAGTTTAAACAAAGTGTAATACACCATCGACACAGCATCAGACTCACGGCATTGTCAGAACCGGCCAGGATGATGATATTGTTCAAGATGTATATATTGCTTGATTCTGCAATACCAAAATTCCATGCGACAGGCTGCGGGAGACGATTGAAAATTAGCCAGGGAGCTCTCAAAAACGCATATTTACCTTATCTTCGTATCTCTGACGATCTCATTTGTAAAACATTTAAACAGTCAACCGTGAGGTATGTTTATCTGCTGCACAATATCCCACCACTAGTTTATTTCAGCACAACCAAAGAGTCGGAGGACTCTTACCTGTTGGCCACGTCCATCTACCCAACCCAGTCAGGGTCAGCATTACCGCGGAGCATGACGTTGTTTCCTCCAGTGAACAAGAACCTGATGAAATTATGGGATACGAAATGTTGAAACATGTTATTTGTGAGGGTGAAAACGCAATTGGGGACCGCACGCTGTAAGTCGTGTTAGCCTCGAACACAACTGACGCGTCAGACGTGTAGTCAGAAATTGCGACCATCAGGGCACGTATATTATCTGCATCTTCGGTATGTGGGACAATAAATATCGACCATGCGCCTGCAATGGCAGCATACCCAAGAAGAACAGAGAATGAGCGGCGTTCTTGCGACCATCATCCTGAAAATCCGAGCTGAGCTGAGGCGTCATAGGTTCTGGCGTAGAATGAGGGTATTATGTATGCGAGCCTCGATCGTTGTAGCCTTAGTAGGCACGGTATGGCTTGGAGCCCGGGATGAGGATTATGACATGGCATGCGTTGGGCATGCGAGGTTCCAACTTCCCGCAATCCAAATGGTCACGGTTTACAAGACGACTTCAGGCTGCTCCTGCTGATCGTCTGTCGAGAAAATGTTCGTGAGGTCATTGAAAAGCTAGTAGAGCATGTTTAGCATCAAGGTTTGCGAATGAAAGATTCTGAACAGACGGACCTCGAGAATAGGCATGATGTGTTCAGCTAGTTTCCATCGTGCTGTCGTGAGCCGACGTGTTTCTGCCATGAAAATCAGCCATGAGAGCACAATACTTATAATAAATCGCACTGAAAAGTAGACTTTGACATTTTTAGATGCCAGAATCGAAGGTCACGTATTCCACACGTGACGCTAAAACCGTCGTAAAACGCTCGAAGGCCAAAAGTTTAAAGCACTAAACATTGACACTGTTGCTGACTGGGTCTCGGGTCTGTATCAAAGTCTGAAAGTTTTCAGTTAGCACTCACTCGGTGATCCATGGCCCGGACTAAGCAAACGGCTCGTAGATCTAATGGCGGGAAGGCTCAAGGTCGTGTGTCAATCACGGATCCTGGAAAGCTGAAGATCAGAATACCAGCGCGGACAGTACGCGCTCATGTCGATGTATCTTCACCACATGAGGTGAAAAATGATGTACATGACGTTTATGATAACCTCAACGTATTCTAACTAACGTGTCTACGCAGTTCTGTGTCCTCTGTCGAGACGGCAGTGAAAACCTTGTCATCTTCACTTGCGACGAGTGCCCACGCGTCATTTGCACTCGTTGCATTGATGTTCCTTCAAATTATATCGAGGAATTGAAAAAAATGGACGTCAAATTTCGCTGCGTCCTTTGTCACACAGCGTTGATGAAGAAATTAAACGACCAGACACCGTACTATGCGAGTATTCTTACATCATATCCCCAGTCTTTTACTCACTATATACTTCAGGGATTTTTCAGGGACGCACAGCCCGTTCTCCCGTTCTTTCTGCCTGTTCGTGTGCAATTAGAGACATCCAAGCGTTCCGAGATATCTGCCTCGCATATCCTTATTATCCACTTTAAACTGGTTGACCACGTGACTACTGGGAGCCCGGTTGACATCATCCACCAATTTTTGGCGCCGTATTTTCCATATGGTGGTCTCCGCAAGCTCGACGTAGTCTTTGATCTAGGCACTTCTTCGAAAGTCAAAGGTTACAACGAACAATGCATGGAGCTCGCCAAGGACGTCGTCGAACAGGACCATTACAAGTCCGTATGTATTGTGATTACGACCCATACAGACGATGACCGCGGTGATCCGTTCATTGGCCGTAAAAAAGGAGACAAAAGCGGATACGTCTCTGCTTCTGTTCCTGAGGTAAGCTCCCTCTTGTTCGACCAATGATACGCTCAATATTTTCCCTGTCAGTTCTTGAACGTTCTCTTCAAGCCGTGGCAGGACGCAATCACACGCGCTAAAGACACGACGATGTTCTTCATGGGCTGCGGAGCCATCGTCAATAATACCGAATCATTTCGCGATCTGCGTCTGTCCGTTCTCAACTCCAAACTTTCATCTGCAATTGCATTCACAGCCCCGCACTTCCAACCGTCATTCACATGTCATTTGGTAGTCGCTTTTGCTGAGCATGTCCTCATCGAAGGTTTTCCCCTCCGTGAAGCATTCCCCGAGATTCTCGGTCACTCATACCGACTGGGAATGCACACAGACATAATTCTTATGACAAGATCTGAAACCAACGGCGCAGCAACGCTGCAATGCACCCGATATGCATGGTCCCACGCTACAGCTCGTCCATGGGGATCACTGCTTCCACTCCAATGCCCGCAATGCGGCTGCATAACCAAATGGAATTTCAGTCGTGACTCGAACAAGTCTATTTTTGTCTGTTCCTACAAGGATTGTGGTCGCGGTCGTGGCACGAAAAACCTTCCTCCCAAGAGGTACATCCTTCAGTGCCCAGAGGGCGCCAAGCGGCTCATCCCAGGGAAAAGGCACAATGCTGGATGGCTGGAGGTGCCTCTAGACTTTTCCCAACCTAACAAGGTAACCAAATTTTCAGACATGTAATAATAACATAATTCCAAATCTCTTCGCAACGCTCCACTCTTTAGATTCAAATTTCTGCCGGACTATCTCATTCTGTGACCTGGCGTCCGCTACAGATACAGCGCATGCAGCCTTCGTCGTAACACCAGAAAGCTCTCCAGTACTCATAGCTAAACACCCGGTTCTCGTTCTTGATCATCAGATATGCAATTAGTAACCAAGAGTATAAAATTATAAATAGGCGCTATTTGAGACGCGCAAGGGCCTTATACTGTTTGAGAAGTCGCTGGGACGATCCCCAACTAGACAGTCCCTCATCCTGCTCCGACTCAAGGCATACCGACCTTCTGCAAAGACCACGAAACTTCAAAAGGGGGTTTGAGGCCTAGGTAGAAAGTAAGAAATCCCAGAAAGTGAATGGTACGCGTTATCACCGTGGGCGTTGATGTGATCCGGTAGATATCCCATGGTTTGTTCTATGTGATCACATTCTTGGCATAGTGAGTAATTGTGACGCACATCTAACATCTCCCGGTACTGGAAGAACCAGTCCTCCAACAGTCCATTCTCCTCTTGCGCCTGGCCGCCCGCCCGCTGCAGGTCTGAAAGGCTGATAGTATCTGAAAACTTCGTATGAATCACAAGAAGTCCCTCTGGTGTCCAGGACGCGTTGTTCTGTTGGTTCCCTTTTTCATCACACGCGCCACCAAAATTTCACAAATCTCATTAGAATTGCACACTGCTGTAAGGGTGGAAACCCGCCAGGATATCAGCGGGAAACACTAAACGAATCAAGCCCATGGTGATAAATAGTGAATTTCCGAGTGTGATATAAAAGAGCAGATGGTGGTAAGTAGGTAACTAGTTAGATGGGGTGACGCTTACAGGGGCGCGCCCTTGACACCAATAAGATAAGATTCGGCGATGCTGAGCGGTCACATTTAGCAGCAGCAGGAATTTGGTTCTTGAACTCATTTCAGATTCGACAAGAATCCGAAACGAGTTTAAGGACCTCAGAATTGAATTGAAGTAAAATAGAAGCCCACCTTATGAGTCCCAACCACGGTTTGATGGTTCCCGGCATCCACTGATAGTTTCCTGCAGGGCCCGACTGAGCCGACTTCTCAAACAGGCGCCGTTCGAAGATCGACAGACATTCCAGGTCAACGTCCGTGTCGATCAAGTTGGTGCTTCTGCCGGTCTGCTTCAAAAGGGTCGTCCATGCGGCTTCAAGAATGGATTATTCCCGCACGTTCTATTGGTCCGAAAGGTCAGCAAGATCATCTATGCAGGCAGACGGCAAATACCACACCTCTTGCTCAAGGTGCTGTCTAGCTGCCCAATCATCAAACTTAGTCATCCGCTCTTTCTCCTCTTGTCTCCCCTCAGCTTCCTTTCCCTCTCGTTCTTCCTCTTCTCGCCTAAAACAAACTCAACATTGCATCACCTTGAATCAATGCAAGACTTACGTCCGCATCCCTCTCATTGATAAGAGGGAACGAAGGTTCCTCCTACAGTCATGAGTTAAAAGGGAGTGATCAGCGATGCTTACAATAATATCGTCTTGTCCACTAGGGACCTTCTTGCGTATGCATTTGATGTCGAGCTCGAGTTTTCGCATAAACTGTTAGCGGTGAGATAGTCCAGAAGAAATGTGTGGGAGTGCAAGTGTTTGATTCAGAGTCCGAAGTAAGGTGCTCATGCGCTCATGTTTGGGTTTTGTAGATTAGTAAGCTGCACCGCGTTGATGTCACAAACGTATTGACATGGCCCATCCTGAGTCCAAGCGATTGCCCACACGGATTCGTGCCCTGTCTTGATTGGTGCGAGGTTTGTCTCTCCGCTCTCTACATCCCGTTGTCTTGCAGTCCCATCGTCAGACCCGCTCAAGACTGGGCCAGGTGAAATTGACGCGGCCCTGCCGCGCCTGCCGCGGTCGTGACGCGCCTGTGACGCGGCACTGACGCGGCATATGTGACGCGGCACTGTAACAAATTCCTATGTACAAATCATGTTTACACAACTTCATATCGCATTCCAAACACTTTGAATCATCGTTAATGATCAACATATGAGTGTCTGCCTGCGTACAGGCTCTATAGTGCTGTATTCACCTCTCACCAAATTTACAGTGCTTGTCCTCTGCATTCATACTACTAGTATGCATCTTGCCGTCAGTCCTATATTGTTGCATTACCTCTAATTCGTTCATCTATGTTGGTTTTCAGATGCAGTGTCAAATGTTGTCTCACTGTGTCAAGCTTCGACCTCACCCTGCCAAGTTTGATCCACTCTCTATACCCTACACCAACACGTCGAGCCCCAACCATGGCATGTCAGAAGCCTCGTTTAGGCTGCGTCAAGCACTACTCACACCACGACAAGTTCTCCCAAATATCTTCGCAGTCTCTGTACTAATATCAACATCCACACTCTATGCCGCGTCGAGACCTACTACAGTGCCGCGTCAACCATAGCACATACCGCGTCAGTGCCGCGTCAAACAAGTTGTGCCGCGTCAGTTGCCGCGTCAAACCTCCTCCATGCCGCGTCAGTGCCGCGTCACAGGCGCGTCACGCCGCGTCAAACCTCGTCACTGCCGCGTCACGCCGCGTCAAACCTCGTCACTGCCGCGTCAAACTTCATTCATGCCGCGTCACAAGTAGCACATGCCGCGTCAAACCTCACCACCTCAACTGTCACACTGTCCGTATAACTTAGGTACATTTTACTTTACATCTGTCATAATAATTGATATTCTAACAGTGTTCCTTTTCATCCTGACAGAATTAGACGTCGTACACTGTAATTGTCCATAGGCAGTAATAAATTTATTTTACTAAGCATTCTTTCGTTGTCTCCTCTGGGCTCGAGAAACAACCGTTATTATCGCGCTTTTGTAAATCGTATCATGGCCTTTGTGAGTTCTTTAAAATACGGAGTAAACTTGTTATAACCATCTTTTAGCAATTAATCAAACATATATTCAACTTTTTCTATCCCAACGAGACAGAGAATCAAAATTATCCAGATCGGCCGGGTCCGCTGCTGAGTTTTGGGGACCTCATACCCTGCTATGACCGTTCAGGTGCGTCATCCGACATATTCTCCTTGTGAACTCAGATTTGACAAATAGAACTGCCTTTGGTGCATGCTTTCACTCTCGTGGTTGCTCACCGAAAGGCCAGTGATTTTGAAAAACGCATCGAAGCTCGAAACGAAGAATGGAACGATAGCATGCTGTTGAAGATGGCTTGGGCTGATCTCATGATAAGCTATCCTACCAATAGCTTCGTGGCTGATGTCGACCTCGAGTGTCTGACCGCACTAGAAGGAAGGATGTTCGAGGATTCCGAAGAAGCAGGACCTGCAGGCAACCAGCAGTGGGGTTTGGATGCTGGCCAACATCACAGGCGATGGAAATTGTATCTCGGAATTCCTGATGGATGGGTTTCTGCAAGAGATTATAGCGAGAGTGAACTTGAAGTGAGGAAGACATTACCTGCTCCGTTCGATAGATATCTAACTTATGTGATTGACAGCGCGGCCCCTTATTCAGTGATAACTCTGATGCTACATCTTTGGAGTCTGCAGACGAGCTATCCGAAGCTGTAGTTCCTTGTCTGCCGGCCGAAGAATGTCCGCCCGTTAAACGTCGATGTGCTCCACAGGCTCGAAGGGTCCAGAGAGGGAGGAAAAGAAAATAGTCATTGGCTTATGTATACCTAGTTGTACATGGCTCTGAGGCAAATAAAATAACAAAAGAGTGGTCGTGAACTCATCCAACTTGATCTGGAAGTTGAATATAGAATATAGGAATGGCGCGTCAGTGGTCGCGTCAAGGATCGTTAGTGCCGCGTCAAGGTTCGTCAGTGCCGCGTCACATGCGCGTCACGCCGCGTCACGGCCGCGTCACGACCGCGGCAGGCGCGGCAGGACCGCGTCAAAATAGCTACGCCCCTCACTGACCGTCTCCACTCCAGCAGACAAAAAGCACTCCCTTCAAGTTTGTATGCCCCATCCATTTCACGATGACTTTGCATGTGTCCATCTCCCACAACCTCACTCCGCCATCCTCACTCCCGCTGACCACTTTCTTCCCGTCCGGAGATAATGCTATGGTCCATACCACCAGTCGTCTCCTATCTATTTTCCACTCTTCCATACCCGCAGCGAGCCGTCCAATGAACAAGTCAATATCCATTGTCCGCCTGGTAGATGTATGGCACCGTAGACCCAACTGTTGTGTCCCTCAAATTTCTGGCGAAGCATTATCCTCTAGGTCTCCTGTCTTCCAACGATGGGTGAAGACATCTGGGCGGAGCTCTGTTTCAGCTTTCATCTGACAAAGTCCAAAATTATCACTTACAATGATATGTTCTTCGGCAGGTCACGATGCGTTAATATCAAGACACGGCGAGCGTTAGGTCAAAAGTGCACTGGAAGTTTGAGCTGGCATGTCGTCGTGTTCGCTTCAGAGCTTCTAGCAGGTTGTGAAGCGCCCAAGCCTCGTTCCTGATCAACCTCGCCGTCCTAACTCCCATGTTCATTGTCTGTCCATAAACCAAATTGCGCCTCACTACCCTTGCTACACCCATCGTTCCGAATACGCAACTGAAATACAATATCAACACTGTCAACGAATACATTATAAAGCGTATACCAGTCCGCGACTTTGCGTCTGGTGCTGTTGCTGTGTTTTTGACTGGTTCTACTGGTTATCTTGGGGCTTTTGTGTTGTGTGATCTCCAGCGCCCTGATAGGATTTGGAAGGTCATCTTTCTCGTGCGTGCGCCCAATACTGAACAAGGTGCGGCGCGCCTTAGAGAAGGGTCCAGTCACCGGGACGTTTGTGATGAGCAGTGGCTCACCTCGGGTAGATTCGAGGTGGTGGTTGGAGACGTTGGCCTTGGTTTGTTTAGTATGGGCGAGTCTGATCACCAGTCGCTGCTGAGGCGGACGTCATCTTGCACAGTGGCAGCCTGTGAGCTACTCTATTTTCTCACATGCATACGGTGATGTATTGCGCAGGTGCACTGGCTATACCCACAGGAAAGGCTTCGTGCACCAAACGTGATTGGTACCTTGACTGCTGCAGAACTCGCCTCGACGAAAAAGCAGAAGCTGCTTGTTTTCGTTTCATCAACATCAGAGATTGACATGACTGAAGGACAAGACCAGGTATAGACATATTGATAGGGAGTTTAATGTTGCATCTTTCTTATCTCGTCCTTCGTAATTTAGGGTCGCGCATCAACGACTCGGACGAACGCCTTGCCTGCAGCTGCAAAGCATAATTGTTCCTACGCGACACCGTTACCTGCGGGCTTCACGAAAGATACTATTGGCGCTACGCTTAACCTTGGAGTTGCCAAAGAATACCAGAGATCTGATAGACGAGATTTTCATACTAGGGAAAATAATTGGAAAGTGCTTATTTCATCACTGCGTCCTCTTTCTCACTTCCGACTCAGGTGCTTTTAGCACCGATATTGCAATAATTCAGGCAGTTGGATTCATGCACACGCGATGTATCGGACTACGATAAGTTTGTTCAAGTGAATTCTAGACTAAGTGCGGTTCGCCACAGCTCCAAGGTTGGTATATCACCACGGACTCAGACAAGAGCGAACAAGACGCTTAAAACCCTCGTGGATGGCACCTGAGAAAAACGCAGATTACATCTGGGAAGCATTTGACATGAATCTAGACTTTACTCATATCATAGCAGCGCCAGAACTTCATATCAATCCTTTTATTACGACACAATCCTGGCAACAATCTATGTATCTGTTTTTGCCAACGAATGCGATGGTTTCCGATCGGATATGTTATCACATGAACACAAAGTACTTTAGTTAGAGTGAATTAAATTTTGACTATGGACCAGATGCGTGTTAAGAAGAGGGTGCACTGAAAAGGAGGATGACTTACGGCGAGTTGAGCAACTGGCTTGTTTTGCAGCGTGGTTCCGATCATCCACAGGGTTTGCATTCTGAGTGCGTCGCTCGTAGTGGATGCTAGGATGAGGTTGTGTAGGTATTGCGATATCCCCAGTTTCGTTAGGTCTGTGTCATACCATTTGTTAGATTGAACATCAATCAATCGACAGCACTAGTATCCAGTTGCCTATCAATTGCTGGCACCATTGCGCTATGCTTGAAATCAGGAGACCAGGAACGTCTTGATGAAATAATGTACTGGAGTTTCGCTTACTTGAAGATCACCCCTCGAGTGTAGATGCCAAGGTGTTTACTGGCTGAGTGTACTTTATCCATTACAGGTCAGAATATCAATTCGATGAAACAGTGGCTATCGCTAGTGACTCCGGTATTTCTCAATGCTCTAGTTCAATTGGCAAGAGGAATTATGCCAATGCAACCTACTTGGAAGAATCAATAATATTGTTGCCTTTCCTGAGGAGAAACCGCCCCCCACAAGGCGCGTGAAGCTGGCAGTCGGTTTGCCTTCATCCGCATCAGTGACGCCCGTTACATCCCCTGCTGTGACCTGTCGGTCTTGTCGAAGGAGGGCCATTTGTATTCAGTTTATCTCGTGGAAACTGGTCAGACGAAGGCGTTTGTAATACAGTGGCTGAAATCATTGGAGCGTACTAAGAATAGACGCGCACCTGTGTTATATGATGTGGGTGATAAACTTCAGTCCCAGCTGAAGTCCGCCTTGTTACATAATACGACGAGCCAGATGTTCTGTGAGTAGTATTTGTTATTTGTTATGTATGTACTACCGTGACATAAGTCTACAAACATACTACACCAACCTTAGCTAGTGTAGCTGTCCTTGTTTTGACCGGGCCTAGTCTCTCCACTATCCTCGTGGTTTGCCTTATTACCGCTATCACCTCCATGTACATTGTATCCATCACCTGCGTCCGCCTTGGCCGACCGTTCATACTGCTTCTCCTTTCCCGCACAGCTCGTATAGTCGACTCGACAATTATCTTTAACTGATGTCTTCATTGCTCACACCCAGTCTTAAGCCGCCTCGAGTATTCGCACTCAAACTGCGTGTTGTTCGTTGGCCGTTCCGCTCGCGAGTCAGCTCCTGCCTTTCCATTCTTCCTACCTTCGACTTCTTCAAAGAGGTGCCACCCGGGGACTTTTTAGATGACATGGATGTGATATTAGATGCTCGGGTATGTATCTTATTGCGTTATTCCTGCTAAACATGTAGATTTGATTTCGTCATGCCACAACCACCACACCGCTTCTACCCAGACACACCATTCCAACCCTCGAGCACCTTCCAAGTTCCATATACCAACCACACTCTCCAGCATTACTCCAGCATCCAACTGCATCCACCGCCCGCGCACCCTCCAGCACCCCGCTATGTTCCCACCATCTTTTACGGCACAGTCGCTGACCTCGTCACCGGTCGTCTATGCTCTCACTCTCACTGTGTAGTCTCATGCGCTGGCAAGTATATTCTCCCTTCTCTTGTTTTATTTTACCAAGGACATTAAATAGACTGCTCCATCATCCCATCTGTCCACTTGGCACATCCGATCTATCGCACATGTTTTTAGGACTCTCCGTCACGTATCTCACTCAACAACCCATCCATCTGCAGAGGCCACGATCTCTGATTTTCTCAACACCCACTGCCTCCAACCGCTTCTTGCCTCCGTTTTGTCGCTGTGCCGTTTTCCCTTATTGCTCCTCATCATCTTCGAGCATCTCCTGCCATGTTCACAACTATTCATTTATCATTTAGCCTGCTGTGGCTACTGACGCTTTCTCATAGGCCGTCGCTGCCTTGGCTGATCCAACTTACCACACACTTTTGTACCCGCTGTTTAGTGACGACAAGTCAGCCGGCTGGTTCATCCGTATTTGCGTACGCTTTCCAATGTATTGTGGTCATCATACTGGTGAGAAACTCGCATTATAATCCTACCACTACTCACCAGCCAGGCTCCGAGATCCTTCGAGTCTTGTGAGAATCAAGTTACAAATGCCCACCATGATGGCGAACGCACGTAGGCAGAATGGTTACGAGTCTAGGTTCTATTCTGGGCATTAGGAACTTCTTGGTTGCCGGCCACATGCTCTGGACTCTGCATTGGCGCCTTTAAGGACCTCACTTCACATGATCAATATAAACTCATTCGATTATTCTCTTGAAATGCAGCACTGAAGACTAATAGTAGTGCGTTCCAACTCTCAAGTCTTCCAGATTTCAGACTTCGGCTTTCTGGATTCTGAGATGATATGGAAATCCATCACTGAAGTAGACCGCGACAGACGTGCGTGTATCAGTCAAATGTCAGTAACCAGTATTCAATTCCAAATCTAGTTGATTTTCTGTTATCGATGGCTTATGTCGTCCCTCGGCGTCATTCAGCGTTCCATTTGTCCTCAATATGCACCAGCACTAACTACTGGTAAGAAACCATGGTTATTTTTGTCAGTTTATGACAACTCGAGCAAGACACGTCAGAACTCTGGAAGCGACAGGTAACAAAATTCCATGGAGGACCAAGAAAGCGAAGAAAGGTCACGGTAGCACTGACGGCATCTCGAGATGACTCGGATGCCCGCGAATGCAGTCACTCGTTCGGAAGAAAGGAAAACAACATTGCGCCGGGAGGAGTCAGACTACAATGTAGAAATGGTTGTTTAGCGACAAAGAAGATATACAGTCGTCGAAACAATATATGGAAGACCTGATTTGCAGACCGGGAGTACGATGATACCGCCTGACCGTGACTTTGTCAATGTGTATATTATAAATATAAGCATGCTCGACTCCATGGTTCGTTTGGAGCACTGGGAGGTTCCAGTTATTAGCAGTTGATCCTCATTCACCGTTTGGTAACACCGCAACAGCGGTCACGGTTGTTGTATTTCCGGAGACAACTTGGATCCGGGTCTGACATTGGTATTGACGAGCTCTGGTGCGTGGTCTGGTCCGATATCCTTCATCGTTGTGTACTCAACTGACATAGTATCTATTAGGGGGGTCGTTGATCCTGTACGCACATACCCTCAATCAATGATAATCGATAAAGTCTTACACTGCCTTTCCAGCGTGATAGTCCAGCTTTGGATTTGTCTGATCGTCAACCGGTCACGCATTCATGTTTGGCACGGTGTCAGACTCACGGACCTCTCATCACAGATCGACAGTATTGGATTGATGGACTGATGACGTGCAGCAAAATGGCATCAGAATTCAACCGAGGAAACAGATGGTTCTAAAAGTTGTTCCGTCTTTTGCTGTGTTCAGTCATCCCTCTGTTTGGGGATCCAAGCGCTAGATGGTGGTATATCTCACCCAGAACAGTTCGACCTGTAATTTAGTAAAACCTTTCTTAGCGAGATGGGTGTTGCGGTCATAGCATCAACATACCTCTTGTACATCCAAATGTAAGTGCTGGAAATATTTATAGGTTATCGATATTGTCATGCTCACCCCAATCATACGTCACTCCAACAGAGGCGGCAACTGCGGAATCACAGTAAAGGTTAGATCGAGACATCCGAGTCAGCGTTAACAGCCGACTGTTACGAACCTACAAAATAGCTAGAAATGCGCCACGAAGTGATCTACAGCCACCAACTGAGACTACAGTCATCTTGTTGGAGGATGGATCTGAGGGTGCGGCGGACTTGGTGGACGTCACGTATGTCGATGACATTTGTGCTAGATATACCACCATCTAGTACTTGGATCCCCAAACAGAGGGATGATTGAACACAGCAAAAGACGGAACAACTTTTAGAACCATCTGTTTCCGCTGGGTGCGACACTGCGACCACTATATTTCAGCTTCGCATGCATGATAACTGTGTGGATGTTTGACGGACCGGGTAAAATCAGTGGGAGACAAGGATGAATCGATGACGTTTGATACTAATTTTACTCAGGCTGGACAAGTATACTTGAGAGAAGAAAGGAAGACTTGGAAAGGCGGATTCGGGTAAGCCTCCGTAAGTAAGATGAAAGCTAATTTGCTTTCGTGTTGTGGTGGGGAAGGTCTGATTGTGTCAGACTGCATCTGCAGTCTGAAGCGTAGCGTTCTGACTCCGGTGTTTGAAGTTATAAAAGAAAAATGGTTGGACGCAGAGGGGACAGACCCTCTAAGTCCGGGATGAAAGGGACCGCGAAGGAACGAGACCAACTCAAAAACACGCTGGTGAGATCGAGGGAGGTGGGTAGGTAACTAAAACTTTGACTGAGGAAACGGAAGACGATACTAGTAGGGAAACGATGCAAAGAAGAATCTGGAGGATTTTTTGAGATATGTAAAACGAACCCCAGATCAATGTTATTGGTGGAACCCCTCGTATATCCCAACTAGAAATGTACGCGTATCGGCATATACATATCTTCTAGGATTGAATATTGACCTTGGACGTCAGTGGCTAGTTGATTATATCATTCCACCATGCTCATGATCAGGGAATCACAAGATCACAACTGATATGAATCCTCTAGATTCCTCGCTATATAGAATCGTTAGCATGATATATATTAATCAATACATATCACACGACAGCCGCTTCAACTGACCACCTAACCAAGGGGAAGCAAACTAGCATCTACAACACCAATCTCGTCCGCTGCATCATCAGAATCATCCTAGGAATGCATGATGGGTGTCATAAAACCTACAGACAGTTAACTTAACTCGCACGGACATGAAGACAAGACTTACCAGTCTGAGCTGATTTCAAGATTCCGAATGGTTTGACCAAATTCAAGAACGCAACGATGCGGTTCGTTTTTGCAGTGAGCTCGACAATGACGCTGTTCTCGCTCACATCGACGATCTTTGCTCCAAATTGGTCGGATAAGACGGAGATGGATTGGAGGTGCTGATGTTTAAGGCGGAGGGCCTCGGATGGCGTCAATGGGGGTGGATTATACGGCTCTGTGTGAGAGTTAGGGTGGGCACCACGCTCGAAATTGTGAGCGAGCGTGGTTTCTTTTTCAAGTTCGGTCTCCCGATGAGGTGACCCCGTGGGACCCCGCCTTGGTTGAGTCCATGAGAGGGTCCACCCACGAGTTGATCCTCTAAGTACTCGGGACCAAGGATAGACACTTTGACTCTACGAGGAGTCATTTACGTGTGATAACACCCGGGCGACATCCTTCCCTATTTCAGCTGCATAGTAACCACCACAAACATGGAGTTGGTTGGTCTGCAACGTGACTAGATCTCTCCGAATGCCCGGGAAATGTTTACAGGCTGTGTGGAGCATGAGCTTATTATATCTATGAGTTAACGAAGATTTATATATAGTATACTAGCTGTTCCGCCTACATTATACGACCTTTGCCGTACGTCTGACCATGACCCGTTTTTGACCATGTTTCAAAACGGGTTGTGCTTTGCTTCAGTCATGATGCATGATCTTCTCCCAAAATGGTGTACTACTACTAGGAACATTAACAGACATTTCGAGGTACGATGTTTTGAAACTCTCAAGTACTAGAGGGTAAGTAGATTCAGAGATTCAGAGCCTCGGGTACGACGTTCGCGAGCAAATTTCAAACCCAGCACGGTCAACCTTTGACAAGCTACAGTCCGTACCACGAAAATTGTGTCAGATGTGTTTCAGATACAACATGATAGCATTTGGCGGAGTCATCACTAGTCAAGACTCAAGACTCCTAATATCTGGTAAGCTTTTTCCCAATGACGATCCACTTAGCACTAGTAAGTATTGTCCCTGACGGTCAGACCACTTGCTGCACGCTTCTAGGTTACTATGTAGCAACATAATACGGCGGTTGCTTTTGCGGAATCAACAAGCACCTCCTGGAGAACAACGATCCAACGACAATTCCTTTCTGAAAGCAAGAACCTGGTGAGTCTTCCTGATAAGCGGATTCAATTGCTATGTCATAAAATGCAGCAGGAATATTCTGAAGTCTATGGGACCCCGCAGGAGAGATACCACGCGAGGGGCATGATTTAGAGACTAATTCAATACATTTGACAGGTCACACATCATCATAGAGGATGTCACTCGCGTGGACCACACGCCTTCTTTCAGGATGCGACAATGGAGTGGGACACATCAATCTGGTAGCAGGTCGGTCATCGATTCATCCCTGGAATGGCCACACTGACATCAACGACATTGCCATTCATCCCGCTGGCATCCTCTTTGCTTCTGTATCTGGCTCCCATGTCCGTCTCTGGCGGCTCTCAGATCGACGGACCATCGCCATCTTCCGGCATTCATCCATCGCAAGATGTGTCACATTCTCTGTGGACGGCAAGCATATCCTCAGCGGAGGTGATGACAAGATCTTAGAAAGGGCCGTACAACATTCAAAGGCGAGTTTCCATTTCTGACTCTCATTACGCAATTCGAGAATCCTTCGTACAGATCCTTGACATCACAACAGCCCGCGATGCATGTCTAACTGGGGATTTGTCTATCGCTGAAGAGCTCCTCACCCAAGAGATCCACACCAACGCCAACGACTTCATTTCATATGCCAATCGTTCGTTCGTTATGGCCCGGAAGCACAAGTTGGACAGCTCCCTTGAGGATGCAATCAAGGTGAGATGGAACCACCCATCATTGTCATCTTATGGAAGGCTAACATTCATCCGTGACATAGTCAATCAACATCAAACCATCATTAATCGGTTTTATCTCGAAAGGCATCGCCCTCTGCAGAAAAGGTCATGTCCGAGAAGCAAGGGTAGCATTCGACGTTGCGTCCATGTTCACGAACCAAAATTCAGAAACCAAGCAATCTCTTCTTTTGATCAAGGTACATTTAATCTGTCTCCCATGCTATCCGCTTCATCCGGTATTCCAGGCCATCGCACTCTTCAATGCTGCTCATCAAAGACCTGGCTGACGCTTATGTCGATCCTCTTGCGCGTTGTGTCGTGGAAGTGAGTGTCATGCGGCCACACTCGGTCATCGATCCTGATATTCTCAACTTACACAATAGACATACGTGTTCAACTCGGAATCAAAGCTTTCGATAGCGCGCATCACGACGAAGCCGCTGATCACTACACTTCCGCTGTTAACTCAAACGCTTTCTCACCGAAATACATTCATTTCGCATACCAAGACTTGACCGTGGTGCGTCAAGACGATGCATACATAATGTTTTTCATACCCTAGTGCTTTGTCCAGCTCTTTGGCTGGGACCTGGAATCCCTGTTGCTCATTGGGTCCTTGAAGCACATAAACACCTGATGGATGCCATTGATGAATCTGCGAAGGCAAACTGCCTCGATTGGTCCAATGGCGAGTTTTAGTGATGTCACCCGAGGCCATCATACTCACCTGCATTTGACTCAGAATTCAAGCAAAAATGTAGCGTGCTATGTGCTGCCAACGGAGATTCCGCCCTCGCTGCAAATGATTATGACAAGGCTATCTACCTATACTCAAGGTGCGATGGGAACTATTGTCCCCTAACCGATGCTCATTGTAGCGACACACAGGTCATCGAACTCGACCCTTTGTCTTATCTTGGATACAATTTGAAGCACGCGGCGCTTTATGGTGAAGCGATTGAAACCTTCCACACGATGCTCTCGATATTGGACAATGCACCTGATGTTCAGACACGAAGTAAGTTTCTGATAACGCATTCGTAAACATGTTTAACTCTTTCTCCAGAGCTGCGCCAGCAGTATCTCAGATCTTCTGAAGTAGAACGCGCCATCCGACGGGTCATTGGTGCCCGACTCAACAACGCTCCGCTGCGTGTACTCGACACCAACACCGGTCTCTTATGCAATCGAGAGACGCAGATAGACACCTTCCAAACGAGCACGCAATATAAGGCGCTTGTGTCATCAACAATCACGCATGTAGACTTGCACGTTGAGCACATCGAAGAAGTGGTAAAGAGATACCTGCAATATGCTATGCTATCACACAGGTGGGAAGGGAAGGAACCGCTGCTGCGGGATATCCAATGAAGAAGCTGCGGTTGTTCTGCGAAACTGCTCGTGATGCGGGGTATAGCTGGGCATGGAGCGATACATGCTGCATCGACAAGAGCAACAATGTCGAAGTCCAAGAATCGGTCAACTCCACGTTCGTATGGTATCATCATTCCGCGCTCACGATTGTCTACCTGTCTGATGTTCCGCCTTCGTCAAAGTCTGGCGCGCTGGCAAAGATGCGTGGATGGACGGTTTAGGAATTCATCGCTTCCAAAGTCATTATCTTTTATCAGAACAATTGGACTCTTTATCATAAGGATCGTACTCCCAACCACAAGGATTCCGTCGAAATCATGCAGGAGATAAAGGACGCGACGGGCATAGACCAACCAACCATACAGCCTTCCATTCCAGTATGCATAACGCCCGAGAAAAATTTCATTGGACGTCAACCCGCGTTACCACGCGTCAGGAAGACATACTCGTCGTTTGGCGTCTTTGGCGTCCGTCTGCCTGTAGATTATGGTGAGAAGCAAGACGAGGCTCTCGGGCGGCTCCTGCAGGAGATCGTGGCTCGGTCGGGCGACATCAGTAGCCTTGATTGGGTCGGAAAATCATCAGAGTTCGACAGCTGTCTACCAGTGAGCCGTCTCGTGTAATTGGACCGAGCCGCTTATCCAGAGACACATTTGTAAATTTAGCCCACAATGACGTCCCCACCGGTATTTTGAAGGAACTCATGGCTGATGGACTGCACAATGAAGTGCGCCAGCTCACTGAATGGGATGGCCACGATTCAATGCTCGTAGTTTGGCGAGCTGTTGAGCGTGCTGACCGTGTTGTGATTTGCAGGCGGCGGCGGCGGCGCATTGCTGGCCAGCTCCGTGCACTCGGCCTTGGCGAATTTCGGCCCAACGAGGAGCTGGGTGATGAGATTGATGATGATGATGGTGATGTCGTATTGGACCAGCCACCGACTACCTCGGATCCCCGAAGTCGCAATCCCCATAGCGGCCAACCAACCTCCCTACATGAATTTGTCCTCGAGCTTCTCCAGGCAGGATTTTACCCCTTAAAGTTCGACCCGCTCTTTAGCAAGAGCGCGGTGATCCTGAAAGTGAAACCCATATGGATACCATCACAGGACCCGTTCTAGTAAGCACTTTAGGTGTGGAGGAATCCCACGAGACTGCCCTCGGACGTCCAGAAGGTAAGAAACCTGTTTTTCGTAAGATTGCCTCCGAGTCATCAAACATAGGTCAGGCCACTGCCGTCAGTCACCCTAAGTTGACAAGTTACTTCGATGTCATTATATTTCCGGTGCAAGGTGAGCGATCACTGGCGAGCTACTTGGGTGGTGGAGGTCGGCACTTTCTCCTCATGCTTATTTTCGAGACATTTGCTCACAAGTCCACTTTGTAGATTGTGACGGGGGTGAGCTTCTTTTGCTTCTTATTTTCTTGAGCGATTGTTTTTTCGAAGATACGGTCGTGTTGGTCTGGTCTAAAGATCTCGTTGAAAACTTTAACGGCGCTCCGCTATGTGAGACACCCGTGGATCTGAGGAACGATTTCGAAGAAGACATCAAACACCTTCTTGATTTTGACCAACGAGTATCCAAGCTCTCAGACAAAGAGGCTCAAATAGCTTTTCAAAAGGTTTTACTGCTCGAGCTGGTGGAGACGAAGTACAAACTGTATTCTGGCTTTCATGATGCAGTTGTGTATCAAGATGGCTATGACAGTACAACAGCCGTTCGACTTGCATACATGTAAGTACTTTAAGTTGTGTCGTTACCATGCTCGCTTTATAATATGTGGTGAAGGTTTACAACGTGCCTGGATGCAAAGAAGACTGGGCTACGAGTCAAACACGATGTTTTCGAGGCACACCGCAAATTTTACGGGAGCCGCAAACCATATTACAAAGTGGTGGCTCTAAAAAAGAACGACTCTCCCAGAGAGGACCTACCGCCAGTGAAGCGAATTTCATCATCACCTTCCATCCTCGATGACCTCGTGGACAAGGGAAATCGCCTCCGTGACGAGTTTGTCGAGAAGTACTCAAGCCTCCGCAGTTCCTCGCCCTGTGCTTTGGACCATGATACCCATCTCACCTCTCCTTATACATCTGCATCTTACATGGCAACACAAGCGGTGCATGTTGGTTTCCAAGGATTACAAGTCAACCTGATTGTTGCCAAAATGCATGTCGAAAAGGCATACCAAGACTGGGTACGCGCCATTGCAATGCGAAACAGTGTTTCGAGCCCTAGGCGTTCTTCTGATCCTAGGGAACAACAGATCCTAAAAGTTGTGCAATACTTTGCGCAGCGGCCGTTGTTCCAAGACGTACTCTCTTTTTCCGAGGAAGAAATCAAGACTATTATGGCATCTTATGCTTACACTCGTAACCAGTCATTCGGGTTCTCTGTTGCCTTCAGAGAGCTTTGCGTCATCAAAGTGCGAGTACAAGGCGGAGTCCCTTTCGAGGATAAATTTGCACAGGCTCTTTCGCAGGCACAGGATGACACAGACGATTGAGGTTTTCTGTTTTTCATGACGGTATATCGATCGGCGTATCTGATTGAACCAGTTGTCTTGTTTACATCCCATAAGTACTTCAATACACGTTGCATCTATCCTTATGATACGTGGCGCCAATGAACTTGTCTGACAGCCAGTGCACCTTCGTTGTCAATCAAAGAGTAAAAGCCAAGAATGTAATTGGGCAAGCCTTGCTTCGCGATTGTAAAATCGGACAACCAAGCACAACCCGGTACTACTGCATCTGTGATTATCTTGATCTACCTCCTGGGATCCATGCGAAGGTTAGGACTGGTAGAGTGTATTTGATCAACGTATTTCTTATAGCCGGCGTACTTGAAGTTGCCGCGCATTTGACGTAGTAAGAACCTGTAGTTTTTTTGCATGCATCATGCATCTGAAATATCATTGTGTACTGCATTTCTGCTGCGTCAGGCCTCGTGATAGCTATCAATGAGTAATATATCAGCGTAGTGCTTTGGCCATATAATGCTGGCCATAATACAAAAGATCGACATGAATAGAATTAAGGCATTGACATTTCAGCATCTTTTAGGACCCCTCTGATCGGTCTGTGTATCACCTGCCTGAAGGTCCGACATATGATAGCCTATCACATGCGATGGCGTTCAAATGTTCAATATCAATCTCCATGGTCCCGAGGAAGAAAGCATTGAAAGATAGCCGCCATCCGACAAAGAATGTATAATAGTGTAGTTGGTCTGGGATAGACGATTAATGTAAATTTTTACCTGAATGAAGTGTTATGCTGCAATAACAAGCCCTCGTTCCGGCCCGCGCTTCACCTTGTTGAACGACATTTAGAATTGTGCCAATGAAACGTGCCAAGTGAGGACATTCATCCACAGTGATACCATGGAAAGTTTCTCTTCCAAGCTTGCAATGGGACCTGAATGCGGAACGCAAAACCTCGGGAGCAAGTGTCTGGGAATTTCGTACAATATCCGGACCTTTACCTTCTGCTCTGTATAATTTGCATTGGATCCATGTGTTAGTTGAGCGGGCACGTGAAAATCCTCAACTGTTGAGTTGAAGAACTCGCTAGTATCACGGTGGCGTACATATGCGGACCATTTGGTGGCGTGGCCGACTTCCGTGACCTGGGAATCGGAAACAATGAGGAACTTCATCACACATTACGAGGTTCGGGACTGACCCGAGAAGATGACTATATCTCAAGTTAGTGGGCTTATATCCCTCACAAACATTCAACACATTTGTCTTAAAGAGCTCTGGAACTCACTGCCTTGGCTGGGTATTGTTGGGTACGACGCTACTAGTAGTGGCGAGCCCCACTGACGACTCATCAATGCGACTCGGACGAGCTACCGGCTGGCTTTTGCATCATTCCTCACTGACCGACCGAAGTCAGAGATGTCCTATGGTAGACTGTTTGTAGAATCGTGTCGGTTCTGTGGAAGTGATGGTGTTGCTGGGACTTTGGAGACCAACATGGACAGGTGTGAATGTTTGCGCAAACTTGTGTTTGAGACGAGCGATCTTGCCAAAGTAAGTTCCTAGTATATGACCTGCTCTCCAATGTTAATTTTAACGGGTTGTACAGGATCCATAAGTAGTATCGGCTAACGACGCTAAGGACACGCAGTTGACGATTACTCCGACTCACAGTGATGTACAACACGAGGTGTCCCTCAAAATAGGACCACTGAGTGAAAATGTGCGGGACAAAGATACAAGCAAAGAACGTATGGTGGTCCAGGTTCTCCTTCCCCAGATCCAAGCGGATGCCATCCCCTCGCCGACGATTTACGAACGTTTGGGAACAAAAGCAGAAGCCTGAACAATGCAGTATACCTGTATCTAATCGTAGGTCACCGATTGCTTCCTAAGCCACACGTTGCTTATTAGATGCTAGGTGACTGCTGAATCGTATGAGACAATTGCTTTCCCCTGCGCGCGAGCTAGAAGACGAAGCTAACGATGGCGGATATTGGAACTGGTCATATTGGGATCCTGATACGAAACAGTATAGCTTCCAGTTGTTCCGTTTGACTTGTTGATGTTGCGTACTAACCAGTGCAATCTCCTTTTCTTGTTATGGTTTTGTTCTTCTACGTCCCGAATTGTTTGGATCAACTTCATCCTGATAAATTTAGCTTTCATCTCATGCCGTCTTCAGAGGTGTATGCCGCATGAGATCTCGTGATATTATTCTGATCCAAGAAATTTCGATTCACATTCTGGACGGTAAATGACCTGTCAGCACCAAATTTACCACTCGTGTAAACTTCCCCTTGCTCCAGGATCTCGTGGAACTTCTTAGGGCAAGAAATATGACGATCTAAGTTGGTTATATACACATCAGTGAGCCAAGTGAGTCACGGCCCTGAAGTTTGCACCCTGTAATTGATGTATTAAATCCAACTCTTTCATAGTCACCACCATCACGCCTACCAAGACGACTTAATATACACCAGAAACTTTGAACACATGGTTTCTATTACGATGGCCCCCGAGTCTTCGGCACAACTTTGACCAGCCATAAGACCTCGACAACGGAGATTTTCAGGAGAGCTATGAAACATAAACGGTGTTGTGACAACACACTTGAAACACCATCAGTGACAATATCGGACTCTATTCATGGGACCTTGGCCTGTCCATCGGTGGTGATACAACTTGATTTTATGTCATTAGAGTTGACTTGGTATTCAGCCTAGGTCAAGAATGAGGTTCTTCACGCAATTCATTCGGTGTGTTATTGCTGGAAATAATGAAATAGTAAACAATGTGGGCATTATTTGGGTGTCTAGTGTGTATGTGTGGAATCGATACATTCAGGGCCGTCGCCGTCTAAACATAACCTCGGCCTTCCGACTGGGAGAGCAATTCATCAGAAACCACTCATCTGGGGGACGCTCGCCTTCAACTTTTTCCAATTTAATATCATAGTTTAGCACAAGATAAGCCATCATGGCCTTCATCACACTAGAAGCAAGCAACCGGGGCTGACAAAACCAGTGAATGAGAACTCAAAACCATAGATCGGGCAAATTTAGCGTACCAAGCATGATGTGCATACCCAAAAGGAATATAGCTTGCACTTGTGGAAGCTAGCAGGCTTTATGGGTCTTCTCCATTGTCCTCGCGCCGCTGTGAAAACCGGAAAGGTTGAAACTCAGATGCGCTTTCGAAGTATTCCTTGTCGAGGTGCATGGGTAGCGACAACGACGTGAGTTCCGCTGGGTATCACGGTACCATCCGAGAATTCGAATTGCCGCATTGCTTTGCACATCATAGGGAATAGTACTAGACGCAAACTCACAGAATTTCTTTTTACAAGACGAGCCACGCAGAAAGCACTTGTCATTACATAATAATTCCATCAGTAAATCATGAGTTCACTTCCTGCCGACAAATGTCTGTACTGAAGTATTAGTAACAGTCACTTCCTCGTGTTGATTATCTTGGATCGCGTCGCTCCCTCCTCGATCTCCTCCCTGAATTATCGGCAGTCTCATCACAGTTTCGGAGTCTCTCCGCCCCTCCGTTCAAAACTATGCATGTGAGAGCTTTTGAAGTCGGCGCAGGTATCGGACGTGTCACATCAGATGTCCTCAACGATCCCGTGGCAAAGCCAGCGAGTCCGGTTTAGAAATCAACGACAGCGGGCATAGGCTTTTATGGAAGGGTATCGCTGATCGAACGAAGAGCGTCACCTTCTTCAAAGGTGCCCTACAATCTTTTGACCCAGTCGCATTAGGGACACCTCTGGATCGTGTGGGTTATCTGCCGCACGATAGTGATGACGAAATGAAAACAGGATTCGACAGGATATGGTACCAATGGTGCCTGGGCCACTTGAAAGATGATGATCTTGTGCAGTTCCCAGTGCAGAGGGGAAGCTCTACGTGATGTAAGGAAGGAGAATATATGCGGCGGGCAAAATGAGCCGGCAACCATTTTCGACGAGCAAGACTCTACTTTCACTCGGTTTGTAAGAAGCGATTTTGTAGCACAAAATGTTGACTTCACTTCATAGGTCAGACCTCGCATTCAAAAATATTTTCCGGGATGCTAGTCTCAAAATCATCCGAGAGCAAATGCCACACGGGGTTCCAAAAGGGCTGTATCCAGGGATACTTTGTCCCTATCAGCGGAGGTATCGATTCCTGCGCTATAGTGGGTATATTCCATGTGTCGCCTCGTGGCTGAGGCTGCACACAAGGGAGGTATTGTCATTCATCTGCTAGATTTGGCGTTTTGGCTAAAATGATCGCTTCAATCAGACAAGCAACTTATTCTTGATACAAGACGAATGGTCGGAGAGCCGGAAGACTCGGTTCATACCCCTTTGGACCCGCATGAGTTCTGCAACAAGATCTTCCACACGTGTTGCGTGGGCACCAAGAACTCTAGCGCAGAAACGAGAAAGAGGGTCAAGGACCTCTCAGAAGCGATCGGAAGGTATGTAGACACTTTAGTCCTCGAGACGCTCGACTAAAAATAAATCCAGCTACCATATGGACTTGAACACAGACACTCTTGTCACCTCTGTCCGTGACCTGTTCGCGTTCGTTACTGGTATGCGACCTCGGTTCAGAGCCCATGGCAGATGTGGCGCAGAGAATTTGGCGCTGCAGGACGTCTAGGTAAGTACTATGAATCGGGATCTAGATATTCATTGATGACTGCTGTCAGGCACAGTTACGGATGCTCCTTGCTTATCTCTTCGCTCAACTACTTCCTTGGGTTCGAGGCAGACAGGGTGCACTCCTCGTCCTTGGCAGTGCAAACGTTGATGAAAGGTATGTCGACTGGCTGGAATAGTGACAATTGACTGACTTAGGGTTCAGTCTCCACGGATATTTCACAAAATACGATTGTTCAGCAGGTCAGCCTATCTCGAAAGAAATGCCAACTGAACTAACATTAATACCAGCTGATATCAATCCTATTGCGGGCATCAGTAAGACTGATCTCAAGAAGTTCATTGCCTACGCTCGTGATGCGTTTGAAATTCCCATCTTGGACGAGTTAGTACAGCTGTGTTACTACTAGGATCGGCACTTTTTCCTGATATTCTGCAGTTTTTTGATCGCCATGCCGACCGCTGAGCTAGAGCCAATTTCGGAGACACATGTCCAAACGTATGAGGTGAATATTCACTCGAAAATGTTCTCTCAATGGTGCTGATCACTCGATAGGTGGACATGGGCATGACGTACGATGAACTATCAGTCTTTGGTCGTTTCCGCAAAGTGGAGAAGTGTGGACCATACGGCATGTTCACGAAGCTGGTGCACAAGTGGGGCTCATTCCTGTCTCCCGTTCAAGTATGTCATCATTCAAGGTTAAGTGCAATCCGCTGATTACGTCTTCTAGATCGTAGAGAAAGTCAAGCATTTCGTCTTTGAATGTGCGCGCAACCGTCATAAGATGACAACCCTGACACCGGCGTACCATGCAGTAGGTATATCCATCTTCACAGACTGATATAAGACTGACGTTGTCGTAGGAATCCTACAGCCCAAATGACAACAGTATGTCACGCTCAAAACTCTACATCACAAGTTGCCCAGACTAATTTGCGTCCTTTTCACTATCCCTTAAGGTTCCCGTGGCAGTTTAAGAAGATAGATGAAGTAGCTGCAGTCCTACCTGATCGCTCCAACTCGGCTGCAGATAAGACCAAGACTGACTGAATAACGTAGAGATCAAGTCCATGTACTTAGACGACATAAGGCCTTAAGGCTCTAAGCCACAATGAAACGATGCTTTGTATTCCAATATGGCGGATATCATGCGAGTACAATACAGTGCGATGGACAGGGAAACCGAAAGGAAATGAATAACAATGTCAACTCAGATTATGTCCGCAAGAAACATGATAGCGTGCTTTGAACCGTTATCTTCTTCATGATCGCCGGCTCCGGAGCTGAGGTGGAAGAATGAGCATCGCTGCGATTAGCATAATTTATAGAATCACTTACGATCAGTTAGGCCTTTTACTTTTCGCTTGATGCTATCCATGACTTCGATCGAAATCTCCTCGAACTTTCATCAATCTTTCCACGAACGGTATACATGGCCCGTGTACTTTCGCGAAAGCCAGGCTTTTAGACGCTTCCAACATCACTAAAATCAAGTCCACCACCTCAAAGTATGGCTCGAGCTCTTTGGTGGGTTTGAACGCGCTGAAAAAGGAGAACACAGTACTGATGTCCTCTTTGATGCGCTCCGTTGCTGCTGCTATGCGTAGTTTTGACGAGTGCAGTAAGATAAGGATAAGTAACCAGGGAGGCGCCAAGCAGATCTTCAACAAGAAGCTCGAGGAGCGATGGATTGATATAAGATTGATCGGCCATGTAATTCCGCATCGTAAGCACGATCTGTTCCATGATACCGTCGTACCGTGTTGGGTGGAAAAGTCACTTCGTCGCAGGCTTCAAGTCGTTGAGGATAATATTAATAAATGTCTGGATGCATTTCTTCGCAACATCCAATTTTCCATCAATGCCGTCATTCAGTAATTCTCTAAAACAAGGGGCTCGAGTCGTCCCAAAAGCGCCTCGGTGTTATCGGCGGACTTGAGATCTGGTCGTTGGCAAGTACCCCACAACACGAGCAAGGATAGCTCCTTGACCACTCTCTGTCGCTGCATCGATTTGTTGGTTCACCATCTGGAACAGGATAACTGCGCCCTGCGTACCAAAGAGTCCGTCGCTGTCCACCCCAGGCGGATCCGAGCGCGTGATGAACTCCCGAATCTCTGTCTTCATTAGTAGGTTCGCAGACCATTCATCGAGCTTCTTGACGATCAATTTCAAGTAGTTCTCGATAAGGTTCTGCTGCTCGCCGCCGACCAATGGTGGATCAAGGAGCTCCGGAACTACATTCAACTCTGTCATGCTCTTCTTGTACTCCTTAATCCAGGCATGAAGATCGTGCATGATGCTAGCGTCAGGCTATGATTAGATGATGCGCTGAAGGGCACCCTTGGCAGCACTTAAGCGCCCGTCTCACGATCTATCAGGTGGGGTTTCTATGTTGCAGCAAACCCACCTGTGAGGTATGCCTCTCCATAGAGGCTCCCTGTAATTGCCGCAAGAGGTCCATGCCCTTTCCTTAGTGTACTGCCTCCGTACTCCCAGAGGTTCGCGAGGGTAGGTATAAACCACGCGAGGCCATGCGGCACCCTCGCTGTTTAAAATAGTTAGTTTATATGTTTTATCACACATGTTTCGAACACAGTGAATCTCAATACTATCATGATGGTGCGACAGACAATATATTTGGTGTGAAAGGGACAGAGACATTAACAACTCAAAGAAGACATGGACGTGAAACGGACACGATAAGAGATCCAAACCACGAAGAAGAAAATACACTCGTTATCCCTCTCAATGCTGTGCCATATCAATGATTAGTACATGCCGTGACGGGAGGCTCGTGAGGATGTAATGGAGGTTTGCGAGGGTCGAGTAGGCGCTCCTGAGGGTCACATTAATTTGTGAACATCAGAGGGAGGCTCGAGAGGCTCACAGATCATGTTTGTTCCTGCAGCTGCGAACTGAAAAGCTCATCTATTTCTCCTTCGTCCTCGGTAGTGGCATTGCTGACTGCGTCTTCATCATGAATAGTGCCGTCCTTAATAGTGGTGATCTCTGGGACAAGGTCGCTATGATCGGGTTCAATGACCGGTGAACGTTGCTGAATCGCCTTCAACCTCCAGGAGGGTGGCGCAAGTGGGACTTCTACGAACACACGGAGTCTGCGCCGATTAGATGATGTGGCGCCAGATTTTGAAGAGGAAGCGTTGGCCAGACGGGTCAGGCCAAACCGATCAATCCGTCCATTGGCAAACCCTCGTCGCCCACGAGTGTGAAGAGAATTTGCTATGGGCGCTTCTCCAACAATGACGGGGACACGTGAGGTCGTAAGACTTTTGCGAGCGTCTGTTGCAACCGATTTAACGGTGAGGGCGTCATTCTTGAGGGCATTCGCAAGTTTGAAGCGCTCATGGATAGTGAGGTCGTGGATACCCTTGCTCTTTGCAAGGGTTGAACGCCTCTCGCCGGGCATAAGGACGTCTTCTGGGTAGTTTTCGAGGATACAGCCACGACGGGCTAGAACGGTAGGTAGGGTCTTCCACGGGAAGTTTCCCCCTCGTCCTTCGAGGGTCCCTGTAACATATTTAGCTGTTCTACACTATGATCTGACTGTGACACTTACCGAGAAGCGCCGTCAACCCTCCAACGATGCAAGGTATACCTTCGAGGAGCCTCCATCCCTCAGGATCACGGACCTCTCGCTTCTCCAACCATTTGTCCAGCACCTCCTGCGCGTCCACCTTGTAGCGCGATGCCATACGCTCGAGCATGTAGTCGAGCTGGGTAAAATCCATGAATCCAATGAAGGTATAGAAAGAGGGAGGCGTGTAGAGGAACGACATCGATAACACATTGAGAAGATGTGTGCCCATCGATAATTGATTCCGTTGATGATCGATGGCCTTGTTGACAATCAACGGACGAAGTAATGGAACACCAAATGCCCTCATATATTATGGGCACGCTGTGTAGTCAGAGGCACGGTAGTGAAGTGGTAGTGGTGTTGTGATTTTGGCAGACTCTTAAGTTCGATCCTTCGACTATGCATTCTTTCATCTGTTAATTGAATTTTTTTATAAATTTTATACCCCACCTTCGACGGTTTGTGCTCATTTTCGCTGATGTCAACACTTAGTTTGTTTTGGTCTCACCGAAACCTCCTGCTTCCCTCATCTTGATGGGACCCTACTAGACCGGACGAACCACCTAGTGACTCATAAGTCAATTTTCACTCTCTTCCTGCCCACCCAACACTTAAACTCGCATTTGTCGCTCAACACAAACAGTTCAAACACGAATTCAAGAAGTTGTCAAAGAACATGGGCGACACGCTCGACAAGGAGAAGGGCTGGTATGATTCCTTTCATTCATCCCACAGCATCTTACACTAATCCGAATCTTTTGAAGCACCTGATTTCAAACGAAACACTTCAACTGACCTCATCCGTCAATGAGCCGTCCAACATGAACATTTCCTTCCCGAGAGGCTTCCCTGGCTCATTCTCAGCAACCCCATCTTCATCCTACACCTCTGGCGAAGGCTCCACCCCCACCCACTCTGTAATAATAGTATTCATACATTTGAACCATGTACCACAGTTCAGAGCAATTCAATTTATTTGCATTCCATGCCCCACGCGAACCTCCAGGATACAGTGGGATTGGGATTCTTGGACGAAAAATTTATCATCAGGGACGAGAACTCAGGAGGCAGCTTGCAAGTTGCGGGCATAACATTGGCTGGGCGTGATATACAAGAATTCACTAAAACAGTTTTTCAGAAGGAGGTACTACATCCAATCTGAGGCAATGCACGAGGTAACAAAATGACAGTCATTACACTAAAAGGGCGAGAGAGAAATGTTAGTAGGTATCAGCGGCGGTCTGCCCATCTATTATTATCCCCATAGTACCTCCGGTCATGACTGCGCATGTCTTGATAGTAGGAGTCTGACGGATACCTAGGGTCATCATAGCGGTCGTCATATCCTTCAGCAGGCGAGCCGTAACGAGAAGGATAGCCTGGATGATTGAATCCCATGGGTGCACGACCGTACCGAGCTTCTTCAATATTACGGGTGCGTGGAAGGCCATGTGGATTGAGGATGCCAGAAGGATGAGGATGGGTGCGAGGGGGACCATTGCGATCATAGAGTGTGTCATGTGCATCACGATAGTGAGCATCATCGTGTGAGTAGGAGGGTCCCTCACGAGGGCGCACAGAGTGATCACGAGGGTGTACAGAGCGATCTCGCAATGGCACAGAAGGCTCACGAGGATGAGGCAGAGGCTCTCGCAGTGGCACGGAAGGCTCACGAGGATGGAGCAGAGGCTCTCGCAGTGGCACGGAAGGCTCGCGAGGACGAAGCAGAGGCTCTCGCAGTGGCACGGAAGGCTCACGAGGATGACTGGGAAGCTCGTGCATGTGTAAAGAAGCCTCACGTGGGATGGGAGCCTCACGTGAAAACAATGGAGAACGTGCATAGTGTTCGGCTCCCTCGATATGAATATCAGTCTGAAGCGGCTCAGGCTGTGGAAGGGGCATCTGCCCAGCAGGACGTGAAGATGGATGGTTGATAGATCGAGCTTGGGAATTTCCATTCTCCTCGTTGCTAGGTGTGAAAGGGGAAGACGTTGTCTGGATCGTACTGTTTGAGGGTTGGGGTGGCTCAGAGCTCTGAGGTTGTGAAGCCACACTGGGCGTGACTTCCGGTTGCCCGGAGACATTGTCCTCTGTAGTAGAGGCCAGTGTAATCGGGGTAGGGTTCACTGGCTGAGCTGCAGCATCGAGCTGAGGGTCTGCAAGCGTGGTAGCACCTTTTCCAGCATCCGCTGTAACCTCCGAGTCAATTCGACCTGGAGCATCCTCCTCTTCCGAATCGACCGTATACATCCTTCGGTGTACACGGTGCATGGCTGTCCGTGATTCCTTTGCCACACGTTTTGGTTTTGGGAGTGCTGTAGTAAACAAGTCAGTGACGAGTAAATCCAAAAACAGATACGTACCCTTGAATTTTGGCTGCACTTTGGAAGTACCGTCCCGGATGCGAATTGCAGGTCGAACTGGCTGGGCAGCTGAATAAGATGGTGAGCGAGGAAAGACATATGACACGTGTAGCACAAACCTTCATTGCCAGATGAGCGTTCTTCGTCAACTGAAGAAGACCCCACTGTTAACGGTGACAGCGGACCCCCCTTCAATGGAGAGGCATCGGAAGGAGATGGTTTCAGTGGTTTCGCCTTGAAACGCACACCTTCCTTCTTTGGTTCAATGATAGCCTCTGAGGAAGCACGCTTCTTGGACGTCCGGGAGGAATTTCCTGACTTTAATTTCCGTTTATTCCCGCGTAAATCATCTTCATATTCAGTGTCTGGTTCCTCTGCTGTTGCGTCCTTCGAGCCTTCCGAAGCTGATGTGAGTTCGATGACTTCCTGCATGGCAGCCTTAGAAGCCATTGGCACAGCTGACTTAACAGCGGCCTGAAAGGGACGAGCGGGAGGGGGAGTTTGTTGGTTGGTAATGGGCCTAGCAACGACCTTAAAGGGACGAGAAGGAGGGGGTGGCCTAGCAATGCCGTTGGCAACGAACTTAACGGGATGAGCAGAAAGGCGAGGATACATGACCCCCTCTGGATGCTCAAAATCACGAGCTTTTGATGCCTTATTTTTTTTGAGTCTGGTCTGTGCGGCGCTTGTCCCCACGCGATCCGGGCCACTATAATCTGTATGCCGATCAGCAAACATGCGACGAGCACATGGGTACTCCCAGGTGGACGGAGGAGCTTCCCCGATGATAACTGGCATTTTTGATTCGATCAAGGACACTACGAAAACATTGTTAAAATTGGGCTACTGAATAGAGACAAAACTTACTGTGTGTATGGGAAGACTTAACCACGCGCATAGTGCCAGCCTTGTAAGCATCAACAAGTGCTGCAACCTCTTTATACGTCAATACACCTATCCCCTTGTTGTTTTTGGACGTCGGATCATGAGATTCACCCGGCATGAGGCACTTGTGCGCAGGGTACCCTTCAATGTTCAGGCCGCCAGATGCTAAGGAGCTTGGCATCGTTTTCCAGGGGAAATTCTTATCAGATGCAAACTTCCCGCCAAGGTCAGCTAAACGAGCATGTCAGACTGAACCGAAAAGAACTAGAATAGCTACTTACTGACTCGTTTCGCGATTTCTCTCTTGAGCCACCGGAGAGATTCCTCACGACCCTCAACTTCAGTTGAAGGAATCGGGTCAGCATCCTTAGAAGAGGCTTCTTCGTCATCTTCAGGCAAGTCATCGAAGGCATCTTCTACCACTGCCAGTGAACTTTTATTACTGTTTG